AAGAAAAGAAACCTGTACAACTTAAATGTTCCTTCTACATTATAATTAATTTAGTCAGGTAGATATACTGGAGAAGATGGAAAGTGGGAAGGAGATAAGGGGCAAACAGGGCAATTCCAAGACTGAGTAACAGTATCTTTAACCTCTGAAAAAAGGGAACTTCTTAATCATTTCAAAGTCCTACAAAAAAAAGGCCACTTTTCTGTTGGTATCTACAATTACACTTTCCCGCAAAATTAATAGTATTGGACAAGTAGCCGAGATTCCTGGAAATGAATTCCTGGTAATAATTACTAAAAAGCCTCCCATAAGGAAAGGATTCTCTAATCCCAAAAGACATGTTTTTCTCCAAAGCAGACTGGCTGCTAAACTAGTTCTCAACAAGGCAGTGTCACTTCATGGCCTTTATGCGGAACTACACTCATTCCCAAGGTAGGGGAATTATACCATGTGTAACTGAGGCGCTGTGATAGAACAGCCTCCACCCAGCAGTTCAGGGAAATGTATTGCAAGACCTGGGAACAGAACACAAAGTTCCAAATAACCACAGTGCGGATGGACTGCCAGGAAAACTGTCAAGGAGAAGATTTCACTGACGAGTAGCTTCCAGGGTCTCCTCTCAGCAGTGGTAATAGCAGTGACAGCGACAAAAGCAGGAATAGCCGCAGGAAGAGCACTAACATGAGTGGTAGTGGTGGGAGCAGCAGTATTTATCAAATGCCTACTTTTTGTCAAGCCAGTGCCAAATCCTACACACACATACACACACTCTAATTGTTATAGCAAACTTGTGAGGAAGTCATCATTACAGACCTTTCGCTGATGAGAAAGCTGAGGCTCGAGGTTGTTTGAGGATACACGACTGGTTAGACATAAAATCGGGATTTAAATCCAAGACTGTCTTATTTCAAGGCTTAGCTCTATGTACACGAGCATACATCACAGCAATATGGATAAATTGGCATTTTAAGTGTGAAGGATTACAAACAATAGAAGAGATACACCTTGGCCTCTCTGAGTTTGTTGAGGACAGCAAGCTTTTCGGGGGGGGGGTGGGGAGTCAAAAAACAAAGTGACAGGAGGCTGCAGAAGGACCTCAAAATCAGAGAAGTGAGGTGTGTGAGTGTGAGGCAAACCATGATGTGGTCAAGGAAAAGGCAGGATAATTTAGGGAAATTACATTAATACTATTTAAAAAGGCAGTTATGACTCAAGCAAACTTAGGAGCATTCATAGACATTTCATAAAAATGGAATTCTGGTGAGCTTGAGACATGACAAATCTAACAGTATACCAACCTTTAGTACTATGTGCTTCACCAATGACTCTCCAGAAAGACACAGTGGGTCAAGGAAGGAAGATTACCAGAAATGACTGTAGGAAGGTCATAATGAAAATCAGGGTGGTGGTGTCTGGGTGGCTCACTTGGTTAAACATCTGACTCTTGATTTCAGCTGGGGTTGTGGTCTCAGGGTCGTTAAGATTGAGCCCTGCCTCCAGTTCCATATTCGCAGTGTGTGCGCTTGGGATCCCCTCTCCTTCTCCCTCCCCCTGCTCTTGCACACACGCTCTCTCTATAAATTAAATGAATGAATGAATGAATGAATAAAAGAAAAATAGGGTGAATAGGTCCATTCTATCTGAATAAAATGAAAAGAAAAATAAAATCAGGAAGGGTGGTAATGAACTAACAGCAATAGTTTAACCATGGTGACTTACATTCCTGTGTGCCAATCACCATTCCAACTGCTATACACACGATATGAAGTCATTTAATTCCCTCAGCCCTATGAGTAGGCGCTGTCGTTTGCATTTTTACAAATGAGGCACAGAGCTCAAAGTCACATGCATTTAGTCATTGGTAGGGTAGGAACCCCACCGCACCTAGGCAGTCTGCTGCAGAGCCTGGACTCATAGCCCCCCCCCCCCAACCACACTGCCCCTTGAAGGTATAGGGAGGGTTTACTCTGGAGTCCAGTATTGAAGCTCATAATCTTAGTATCAAGGAAGATCTTTTGAAGCAGTTTAAGCAGCAAGTAAACTTTACAGAGTAAGAAACTCCTTAATAATAGGCTGAAGATAGTAATGGTTTCAAGAAAAGTAGGCAAGTAGGTGGATAGATAAGCTAAACATAAGTTGTAGAGAGACACTAGACATTATTATGGTAAGAGTCTGAAGCTTCTGGAGTTTGAAATGATGTAAGATGACAATGCCCTCCAACACAAATTACTGGTCTGTTCCAGTTACGTATTTCTGAGATCTTACAGACATTAAAATGAGCATACGATTTTTTCCTGATATGATTTCTAAGACTATGAAAATGGATATCACTAGCCTCCAGCTACATATGCCACCTTACAAATGACTCATGAACATGAATGAAATGTCTCGAAGTTCATCTTAGTCAATGCCCTCATTCAACTATTTTTTATTTTTCAATTCAGAAAATCAGACATTAATCTAGGTCAGCATTCTCTACATTGTATCTTCCGGAGATGAATGTTTAGAAGTTATTAAGTGATGGGGGTGGGGGGAATTCCAGGATCCAGTAAGTGCTCACTAAATTCTCCTAGAGAACCACAGATCACATGTAGCTTGAACAATCCCATAATAAAGAATCTATGCAACTGTAATCCAGTATTTCCTACATTTATTTGGCCATGGCACCTTTACACTGCAGACCATTTATAAATTATGGACATTCATTCCAGATCTAGATACTTTCTTTTGGACAAATAGAAGAGTGTTACTTTTATAAGAGTCCAGGAGGGGAGTTAACCATGGCTAGGAGTAATTGGGGTATTTTGTTCTCTCAATGTTGAAAGAGTCCCTGTTTCTGCTCTTAGGGATGGTCGTATGTGGCACTCTGAATTCATTTTCTCCTAATAATTTATACCAGCCACTCCTCAGTCTCCTCTGCTGATTTCCTCTCATTTCTCTAACCTCTTATTGTTAGCATACCCTGGAGCTCGGTCTGTGGACCTTGTCCTTTCTCTATCCCTGTTCTATTCCTTGGTGATCTCATAGTCTTGTGACTCTTTAATAAATTTAAAGGTTACTGACAGCCTGGACTTTTCTAAACTCCAAACTCACACATCAGGATGTCTGGGACATTCCCACTAGGATATCTATCAGGCAACCCAAATGCTAACATGTCCCAAATCAAAGTCCTCATCTTTCCTCCCAAATCTGCTCCTCCTTTAGTCTTCTCCGTTTCAGTTAATATCATCACCTTTCCAGTTGCTTAGGCTAATAATGACTGTGCCGTCCACAACACTTTTTCTCCAATACTTCATATCCAAACCATCAGCAAATTCTATTGGCTCAACCTTCAAGATATACCCTCAATTGAGCCACTTATCACCTACACTCTCATCATCCTAATTAAACCTCTATTAACTCCCAAATGGATTATTACAATAGCTTCCTAGCTCATCTCCCGGACTCTGCCCTTGGTCCCCTGTAGCTTGTTCTTAAGACAGAAGCTAGGGTGATAATGTTAAGACTATAATAAAGAATTTTTGTGGGGGCACCTGGTGGCTCAGTCAGTTAAACGTCCAATTCTTGCTCTCAGCTCAGGTTTTGATCACAGGGTTATGAGTTCAAGCCCTGCACTGGGGTCCACGCTGGGCATGGAGCCTACTTAAAAAAAAAAGAGAGAGAGAGATTTTTTTTGTTTTGTTTTTCACCAAGGTAGAAAAGACTTCTCCATTCAGAATCCACTAATGGCTTCCTATCTCTGAATGAAAGCCAAATCCTTACAATTGCCTAGGAGGCATTACCTCACAGGCCCCATCTCCTACTACACCCTCCCCTGTCCAGCCCCCCACTCTACTGTAGCTCCAACAGTCTTGTTGCTGTTCCTTGAGGTAGGCAAGATCCTACTTCAGGACTTGTTCTACCTTTCATTGTTATGTTAGCTGATTTTTATTACATTAGGTTAAAAAGGTTTTTTCATATTCCTAATTTGCTAAGCTTAAGATTGTTTTTTTTTTGTTAAAGGTAAGATTCACATACCTTAAAATCAAAAATTAAAAAGTCAACCATCTTAAGGTGAACAATTCAGTGGCATTTAGTACATTCACAATGTTGTATAACCATCTTTATTTAGTTCCTAAACATTTTCATCACACCCCAAAGTCAACGCTATACCCATTAAGTAGTCACTCCCCATTCCCCATTGCCCCTTCCTCCCCTGGCAACCACCAAACTGCTCTCCATCTCTATGGATTTATCTATTCTGGATATTACGCATAAAGGAAAGTATACAATATGTGATCTCTTACGACTGGCTTTTTTCACCTTGCATGTTTTTGATGTCCATCCACCTCGTAGCATGAATCAGTACTTCATTCCTTTTTATGGCTCATTATCACTCCACTGTATGAATACACTACAATTTATTTATTCCTTCATCTGTTGGTGATACTTAAGGCTCTTTCCGTCTTTCAGCCACTGTGAATAGTCCTGCCATGAACATGCATGTATGAGTATCTGAGTCCCTGCTTTAGATTCTTTTGGATATATACCTGGGAGCAGGATTCCTGGGTCATATGGTAATTCTGTTTTAACTTTTTGAGGAACTGCTGAACTGTTTTCCGCAGTTGCTGAACCATTTTATGTTCCCCTCAGCCATGTGTGAGGGTTTCAGTTTTCCCTTCAGGACTTTTGCATTTGCTGTTCTCTCTCTTGAATGCTCTTCCAACAGATAATCCAGTGGCCCACTTCCTCACTTCCTTCATGTCTTTACTCAGTGTCCTCTTCTCACAGAGGCCTATCCTGACCACCAAATTTAAAATGGCAACCTCCCAACCCCAGCCCATACTTACCATCCTCCTTGCCCACTTTATTTTTCTCCATAGCATTGATCATCATCTAACATACTACTTAATTTTCTTAATTTTTACGTCTTGTCTTCCACCACTGAAATGTAAGCTCCACCAGGGAAGAGATTTCAGTCTGTCTTTTCCAGCACCTAGAATAGTGTTAGGCACATAGTAAGTGCTTAATAAGTATTTGCTGAACAAGTAAGTGAGGCCCAAAGAGATGTTTTGGCAAAGTGAGGCAAAAAGGAGCAAGAAACTGTCTCTGTTGTTCAGAAGTAGGTTTTCTAAGAATGGGGACGGATTGAAACTGAGCATATCACACATTTTATTCAGCTGTAACCTTTTAAAAAGCACAAACACAAGAGAGGGCTATTTCTGAATCAAGTGAAAGAACTAGTTAGAAAAGCCTGGGGATAATGGGATCAAAATGTCAAACTAAAACTCATTTGCACCAAATGAGTCAACTAACTGCCTATAATAAGCAAAAGTCAACTAACTAGCTATAATAAGCAAGCTTAATATTTACTGTTTGAAATGTTTTATTTAAAGAAAGTAAAAAAAATGGTGCTACAGGACACAGAACTTTAAGAGTATTATACTTCAAGAAAACAAACCTAATACATACTGTCAGAAATAGAATTCTATGGAAGAACAAAAAGATGTACCCCCCCCTAAAATACTGCTACAGCAACAATGTGGTTTATCATATTCTCAAAATATAACAGAGCCAGAGGAAATATCTGTATATAAAAAGAGAATCTATATTGAAACCACAAAGAATTTATATCTGGACCAAACTTGGTGTAATTAGTACTGAATTTTTCACTTGAGAATGATTAAGAAGGCAAAAGTCATGTTATATATTTTCATTACAATTTTTGAAAAGTAAAAAAAATGGATAGATAGATGGTAGATGAAGAAACATTCTGGGGACTGACACAGAAATAAAGATTGGAACATTGCCAAGTCTACTACTAAGAAACAAGTAGTAGTAGAAACACTACTAAGAAACGACACTTTTGGAGATTTTGGAAAATCATTTACAGCAGAAATCAGTCTGGAAAATGAAAACTAATGGATTCAACTTTTTTGACTATGTATTACAAGAAGTAGACTATGTAAGAGCTGGTCACTGAAACTGGTTTTCAATATGTTTCTGCTATAGGCTGAATGTCTAAATTCATATGTTGAAACCTAATCCCCATTGTGATGGTATTAGGAGGTGTGGCCTTTGGGAGATGACTGCATCAAGAGGGTGGAACCCTCATGTGTGGGATTAGTATCCTCCTAAATTAGACCCCAGAGAACTCTCTCACCCCTTCTGCCAGGAGGATACAGCAATATCCTTCTATGAACCAGGAAGTGGGTCCTCATCAGACACTGAATCTGCCAGTGCCTTGATCATGGACTTTCCAGTATCCAAAACTGTGAGAAATAAATTTGTATTGTTCATAAGATACCTAGTCTGTGATACTCTACTATAGCAGCCCAAAGGGACTAAGACAGTTTCAAAGTACAACTGTAAGTACAAAGCACAAGAAGTTCTGATGTTAAGATGAAAAAACAACTCATGACTGGGTCAAACAACTTCAGAGCCTGACCACCTTAATGGTTATTAAAGATCACAAAGGTACTTTGCCAGTCTCTGAAGTTCAAGAAATTAGTAAAATATACATAGTGAGCTTATAACTGTGCTGGAGGAAAGACTGCAAGATGCACTTGGTAAAGCTCTCAGTCTGTAGGCCAAGTAATCAGGCTTCCATGTAAGAAGCAAAGCAATGCTCCTACTAACATGATAAAATCTACAGCTTTTACATGAATAACTCCTGAGGCACTTTACCAATACAAATTTTATTAAAAAAATAAGTAATAACATCAAACTGTTCAGCAAATCTATATTCAATGTAACCAAAATAAACAAACACCAAAATAAAAAAAATATACATCTATATATATATGGGCAAGAAACAAGTGCATTTTTTGGTCCCAATATTTTCTGAATATATTATCTTTATCCAAAGGAATTACATTAATGGCTAAGAAGATATGTATTAGATGTACAGAAACATAACTTTAAAATTTATTTTAAGGTCTGTAGGAAGTGTTTTTTGCCAATTTTTTATGTCTTTAAACTCATAATCACTACGATAATGATAGTCCCAAGACAGAGGATGTAGTAATGTCTAATGGTCTGAATAATTACCCAAATCTAGAAGCCATCAATAAGTAGCTACATGAAATTTGTAGAGAATTCTAAAGAATTTCTTGAGGTTCTTAAAAACAAAACAAAACAAACACAAAACAAAAGTTTTAAAGAGGAGAGATAAAAGTGGACATAACAAAACACACATTAATAAATTTGGTGAAGGACAACATAAAACCAAGATAAAATTAAACTTTAAAAAATCTGAATATTAGTATCACTGAAAACTCCTACGGTTAATACTGGATAAAATTTCAAATGACGGTACAAATAACTATAACTTTGGAACTGTAACTTTAGAAACTTGTTTTCCAAGAACATCAAAGTAACCTTGGTTTCCTACACAACCAGTTTTTATATTCCTTGGACTGCATGCATACTAGACAAATATTAAAGGGCAGCAGCCAAAATGTTTAAACTTCAACTTGGATGTTGAAGCATAGATTTGATGGGTCTTTCTTGGTTAGAATGAACCCATAAATATAAGTTCAAGAACCAAAGCCCCCAGTGGGAAGTTGTGCTCAATTTGGCGGGCCTTGAGGTCATCTCTGGCCAAATTAGCATCAGCCTTATGGGAGGCCAGTCATGAAGGAAGGGACTCTCCCCAAGGTCTGATTTCTTAAGGCCACAATCTAAAGGAGGTCTCACAGTCAAATAATTCACATTCCTTGGAAAGAGAGAACAGGCATCAGTTGTGTCCATCGAAGGGGGACACTGACCAGGAGTATCCTGGACATTTTTTGAAATTTCTGTGTTGCTTCTGCATCTGAAAAATACGAAAAATAGAACAATGACAGACAAGGAAAGAGGAAAAAGACAGCTATCTGACCTAAAAATGAAATTAAGAAACCAGACAAAACAGACAAAGAAAATGAATAGCCATGTCATTTGGAATGCAATATTCTGAAGGCAAGTACAGCAGAGAAAAACACAAATTATTTTAAGCAAAGCAAAAAAAGACCATAGCAACAAAAGTTATTTTTGGAGAGAGCCAACTGGAGAAAAAAGCATATGTTAAGATATGTTAACCTGACACAAAGATAAGGTGGAATAAGAATCTAGTGCCATCTGAAAGCTGAAAAGAGCTGAATCAGAGCTAGTGTCATGAACTTGGCTGTTTAACCGCCTTCGTGTGAGAAAACACTTCAGAAGTTTGAACTTAGGAAACTGCCTTTGTGTAAGAAAACACTTCAGAACTTTGAACTTAGGAAATTCCAACTTGTCTTGCACCAGGTTGCACGAGCTCCATAGAGCAGGAATCTATTTCAACAAGCGGCTTTAAAAACAAAAACAAAAACAAAATACTTTAATATTTTTCATTTCTATTAATGATACATTTAAAAATGCAACAGTGCTAAAATCCATCAAAGAAAAATGCACTAAATGAAAATTAAACTTACTCAGAAGTGGGTTCAGAATTGGGTTCAGAATTGGGTTCAGAAGTTGAGGTACTTTCGGGAACTGAAATTAGAAGTGTTTTACGTTTAAAATGGTATAGATAATGAGTAAGACTATTAACTTAATACAGAAGAGCCCATATTGTGGCTGATCAAGAATACTGGAATAAATATCAGAAATTCCCAGAGAGGGAGACAAACCATAAGAGACTCTTAATCTCAGGAAACAAACTGAGGGTTGCTGGAGGGGAAGGGGGTGGGAGAGATGGGGTGGCTGGACGATGGACATTGGGGAGAGAATGTGCTATAGTGAATGCTGTGAATTGTGTAAGATTGATGAATCACAGACCTATACCCCTGAAACAAATAATACAATTTATGTTACTAAAAAAAAAAGAAATTCAAAGAAACACAATTATATATACATACCATTCTCTATTATAACTTGGCAAGTATGAGTTTTGCGTTGACACAAGTGTTTAGCCATACGGTCTAAAGCAGAACAATCAGTTAGGAAGTCACATTTAAGGCACACTAGAGTAATGCCCCTATGAAGATAAAAAGAAAGCAAAGGTTTTTAATCTTTTATGAAAGTCCATCTAGAAGTTCAATTATTATTTTTCCATGTAACAACTCTTGATTTGGTTTTTATGTGTCATGACCATCAATTTCCAATTTTGTTATATAAACCTGATTTACCTGAAATGATACTCTAGAAAATGACAGAGTCATGTTTAAGTTATGCTAACATTCAGTGCTTTGTAAACTGTTCCCTCTCATATTGGTTGCTAAAAGACAGGAGTTAAGAGACCTAAAACCCAGTTGTGGCTCCACTAACAATTTGTATAGCTTGTGCAAGTCACATTCTTTCTGTGCCTTTGTCCATCTGAAAAGCAAGGATATAATATTCATTCAATATACATTTTTTAAAAGATTTTATTTATTTGACAGAGAGAGTGAGTGAGGGAGAGAACAAGCAGAGGGAGCAGCAGAGGGAGAGAGAAAAGTAGGCTCTCTGCTGAGCAGGGAGCCTGATGTGGGGCTCAATCTCAGGACCCTGGGATCATGACCTGAGCCAAAGACAGACACTTCGCCTAGCTGACTGAGCCACCCAGGAGCCCCTCAATATACATTTTCTGAGAACCTTCTTTACACACTCCATACTACTAGGTGTTGTGAATACAACAGTGAACAAAAAAGAGGGTAAACTCTGTGGAGCCTATAATCTGGTATCTTATTTTAGTGGTGATAAAATTAGAAAAAATGGGAAGGTTTTAAAAATTAATCATGTACTTTAATTATTGTTATTATCTGTCAGTTAACAAGCATAACCATGCTTTTACAGTTCATTGGATACTTGGATGGGAATAAAAACCAGTAGCCTACTTTAGATTGACTTCCCCACTGTGGCTTTAGCCTTTTTTTTTAAAGATTTATTTATTTTAAGAGAGATTAGGGGTAGAGGTAGAGGGAGAGAATCTTTCAAGCCGACTGCCCCGCTGAGCGCAGGACCCACCTGCTGAGGAGGACTCAATCCCAAGACCCATGAGATCATGAGGTAAGCTGAAACCAAGGGTTGGATGTTTAACTGACTGAGCCACCCAGGTGCTCCTATTGCAGCTCTAGTCTTAACAGCCTGCTTTATATTTATACCTGCTGTCATGCTGGCACATCAAAAATGATCTTCATAAGCTGAAATTGTACTTTCCTCCCTACCCCTGAAAACCATTCTTCCTAACTAATCTCTCTGATGATGTCATGCTCCCAACCAAAGGCTCAAACTTATCTTTTTAAAAAAGAGTCAGTATTTCAAATATTTTATCATATTAACAATTTATTGAGCACTTAACTCTGTGCTGGGCTGAGGGTTTTAGACATATTATATCATCTAAATCTTACAACAAACCAAAGAGGTAGATATTAAAATTATTCCTCTTTTATAAAGGACTGGATCGGGTTTAATAACCTACCAAGGCCAAAATTAGATTGAAGTGAGCCCTTTGATTCCAGAGTCTGTTCTTTTTTTTTTATTCAAGATTTTACTTATTTATTTGACAGACAGAGATCACAAGTAGGCAGAGAGGCAGACAGAGAGGGGGAAGCAGGCTCCCTGATGAGCAGAGAGTCTGATGCGGGGCTTGATCCCAGGACCCTGAGATCATGACCTGAGCCTAAGACAGAGGCTTAACCCACTGAGCCACCCAGGTGCCCCAGAGTCCATGTTCTTAAACAGTGTGATAAACTTCATCACCTTAACCCAGATTCTTATTAAATCAGTCTTAACTACCATAATAGTCTTAAACAGTCCATGTGTCTCAGGTAGCTACATTTTACCTCATATATCCCCCACACTGATCTTCCTTGATTCTACACAAAACACCAAGAATTTCCCCAAAGGGTCCAAACTCCCTAGCTTAGTTTTCAAGGATTACACAATCCAGATCTGAGCTCAAAACTATTCCCCCAGACTTTGATCTTAATACTACGTTACATAAACTTCATGCTCCATCTAAACTGCACTACTGGTCATTCATTGCGTATGGCTTCTGCTCTTTCCTTTCTGTACTTTTACTTACACTATTTCCTCCAACTAGAATGCCCTTGTGCCTCTTCTAGTAGAAGTCTCTCCTCCCTGTGAAATCAGTAACTAACACAGCACTTATTATGAACCTTCTTATATTACTGTAGTTACTTATATTCACACCTTATCATAAATTGTACATTCCCTGAAGGTTGGTACCAAGCCTTCTTCATCACTGTCAACTTAAGGGGAACTGCTACATTGTGTTGTGTAAGTAATAGGTGCGTGATAAAAAATGAACATTGTATTTTAACAAAATAGTAATTACAAAATTTACTGTTTTATAGAATTATAAATATGCTAAGCCCCATACACAGAAATTAATCAACTTTCTAAATATTTTATTTATTTATTTGACAGAGATCACAAGTAGGCGGAGAGGCAGGCAGAGAAAGGGGGGGAAGCAGGCTCCCCGCTGAGCAGAGAGCCCGATGCGGGGCTCAATCCCAGGACCCTGAGATCATGACCTGAGCCGAAGGCAGAGGCTTAACCCACTGAGCTACCCAGGTGCCCCTCAACTTTCTATTTAAATATGAGACCCACCCAAGTTAAGAAAAAAGCATTTCTGCTCTTTAAAGTCATAGAATCAATTCAAGAATCAAGCAGCAAGCACACAACTGAGCTTGACAACAGTGAGGTAAAAATCAAATTAAATTCTCTAATCTTTAAAATTAATAAATCCTTTTCATTCTTATAAAATTTTTCAGTAAAATTCTACTTCCTTGAATTTAGTAATATTTTTAAAATAGCACAAATATATTTTTACAATAGAATCAAACTTTCCTTTGCCTATGAGCTGTTGGTCCAACATCATCCACCTATGTAATTTTCAACATATACACTAATTTACTCAAAATATTTACAGAAAGCCTACCATGTGTCAGGCACTATTCAATGCTCAGTAAAACATCTGGCATAGACAAATATCCAAACCATACACATTCTAGTGAGAAGACACAGGTGATAAACAGAACAGTGAAGTATATACAACATGCTGGAAAGCAAAAAGTGAAGAAAAATAAACCAATAAAGGGAGATAGGGACTGGTGGGAATGGGGCCCTGGGGAAAGAATGCTATTTTAAATGGAGTGGTCAAAGAAAGCCTCATTCACTGGACTAGAGACTTGAAGGAGCTGAGAGAGCTAGCCATGCAGCTATCTAGGGAAGAGTCAATAAAGCAGAAAGAATAATAGACACAAAGATCCTGAGATCTATCATCCCTTCCTCCACTTTCCCACTAAGCCAAAGCATCAAAATAAGTACTGGCTAAACTTAAGTCTTTGTCTTAGCCTGGTGCTACCAAGATCTTGGCACTGTAATTTCAAACAGCAATGACAACGTGAGCAAAATAATTAAAACAAAGGAATATGAAGTCAAAAGAAATCAGAAGAACGTGGGAAAAAATGATGCTTAGTGGGTTATGAGCCAATGGTGTGTAGTATAATCAAAAGTTAACTATCAATGCCTAGAAATGTTCATCAGCAATTCCTTTTGTAAACAGGTTGTGCACTCTTATTTCAAAATTTTAAAAGCCCTAAGAATTATGAAGGCTATATATTGATCAAAACCAGTGTTATTCAACTTACTAGATATCTTAAACATCTTTTTAATCTTCAAATATTGTTGGAGAGCCTTATTTTTTATTTTATAATGCAAATCCATGAAAGTTTCATCTTAATGCCTAATACCACTGAAACAAAGTTAGCCAGAAAACATAGGTTTACTTCCTCTTTGATCTATGATATAATGAATAGAACTGTCTTATGTCTGGTAGTAACCATTCATTTTCCAAACTACATACTTAAGCATCAGGTTAAAAAGAAGTTACTGTAATTTTTCAAAAGAGAGAATGGAAAAGATCAACTAGTTACCTGAGAGTTCCAGAATGCTTCTTAAAAATATAAAACCGTTTACTCGGATGGTTGCTATGAGAGCTGGAGAGACAACAGACAAATGAGATTTTATTATACAATATATCATAATAATTTTATGACCATATTTCCAAGTCCATTTTTAGTTTCTTAGTTTTGATTAAAAGGTAATGATCTAAATTATTAAATTCTATTCTTGTTTTAATTCAAGTTTTTATCTTACATTTCATTTTATCTGTGTATTTTCTAACAACATATTTCCCTGAGAATATTCTTAAGTGAATGGTACCCTCACCATTATACAAAAAACCCAAAAAACTTCTCAAAGTTAAATAAGCAAAGAGCATCAACTTAAATCTTTACAACTATTGAGAGTTGAAAACAATTTAAAAGGTATTTGCTAATAATGCATATTGCTCTAATAAAAATTGTTATGAATAACTACCACTTTCTTATCTTTTTTTATCACTTTATCTTAATATACTTAGCAAGTGGGGAGATCTGAATGATCCTTGAAGTAAATGCTACTTGGGCTAAATTACATTACCTTTACCTACCATCAGTAAAAGGAAACATTTAAAGAATCTTTTGCAATTATTAGGAGAGCCTTTAGGGAAAGCAAAGCAGAACTCATGAGTTAAAATAGCACTTCTTCTATGCACAAAACATCAACAACAAAAAAACACTAACCAAATTTTGCAGCCAATGGCAATAGCTTTTATACCCACATCTATTTTTATTTTTTAAAAGATTTATTTATTTTAGAGAGAGAGAGAGAGAGAGAGTGCATGAGCAGGGGGAGGAGCAGAGGGAGAGGGAGAGAGGATCCTCAAGCAGACTCCCTGCTGAGTGTGGAGCCTGGCATGAGGTTTGATCCCAGTATCCTGAGATCATAGCCTGAGCTAAAATCAAGAGTCAACCACTTAACTTACTGAGCCACCCAGGTATCCCTATACTCCCTTTTAAATTGATAAGGAAAGCTTTCCTGTATTAGAAAGTCAGGCAGGATTAGTCAGGACTGGCATAGCACAGTATTACTCAAAGTGTGGTTCATAACAGCATCCGTATCACCGGGGAACTCATCAGAAATACAAAGTCTCAGGTCCCACTCTAGACCTGCTGAATTAATTGCTGGCAGTGAGACCCAGAAATCAGTTTCAACAAGTTTTTGAGGTGATTCTTATGCAAGCTAAAGTTTGAGAAACACTAGCTGCCCTAGCTTGCACTGACAGACCCAAAACAGCCAACACACCAGGTCAATGATCATCATTAGACAAATGGTAACTATCACCAGCATACCATGTATGCATAGGAAAAAAATGATACTGGCTAGCTATAATCCCATGAAAATAGCTGCAGAATAGGTACCATGCTGTGTACAAAGAACTGCTCTCCCAAGTAGATAAGACAGACACATTTAATATAAGGCAGAATAGCTGAATGGTACAGAACTCAAAGGAAGGAATGATTGCTATGAGTGACTGTGGTGATTAGATTCTTCACAGAAGAAGGTAAACTGAGAGGGAGGGAGAGGGGGCAGTCCAAGGAATAACAAAGAATAAGGAAAACCACTTTAGAGACTGAATATGAAACAAACGATATGAATATGAAACAAACTATATGTTCGGGAAGATTAATTTGGGGGGCCTGACTTGCTACAGAGTTGGTGTGGACTGCGAATAAAGGTACTCAGCCTCTAAGAAAGTAAGACTCTGTAGGTACAGAGCTCAAGTCTACAACAGAAGTCCACACTGGGTCAGGGTGTACCATTAACGGGGAGGTACCTGAGGCAACAAAGGAAGCAAGATGCCACTGAATTAGGGGGAAGGCAAAGGCCCTTAGAAAAGTAGAAGCGGATACTTCCAGTTCTTTATGAGGCTAATAATAAGTAAGTGCTCCATGTGTGTGATGACAATGCAGTAGAAGGTTGGGCCTCACTGGAAATCAGGAAAAGGTTATAAAGGAAATCCAAGGCCAATGGGAATATTTTGGGATAGTATGGTATTGAAGGCCTAGAAGACAGTTGAAGAAGCTATGGAAAATGTGAGGCAGGAGGACAGAATGACCATGGGTTTAAGAAACATAAAAATATTTTCCAATTTAATGTCCTATAATTTAGGGGCAGAATTAAAGCTCCATTGGGGCAGCCATGTGTTTGGCACAGAATAAAAGACCAGCATTTGTGATTGTCAAAATACCAACATTTTTCACAGAACTAGACAAAATTTATCCAAACGTTTGTATGGAACTGCAAAAGATATTGGATAGCCAAAGCAATCTTCGGATTATGAGACTGATGCACTCACTACCTACTGCGCTAAGGAGGCACCTCAGCCAAAGCAATCTTGAAAAAGAACAAAGCTCAAGGTATCACAATTATAGATTTCAAGATATACTAGAATGCTGTAGTGATCAACACAGTATGGTATTGGCACAAAACAGATACATAGATCAACGAAACAGAACTGAGAGTCCAGAAATAAACCCATACTTACATGGTCAATTAATCTATGACAAAGGACGCAAGAATATACAATGGGGGAAAAGACAGTGTCTTTGAAAAACGGTGCTACGAAAACTGGACAGCTACATACAAAAGAATGAAACTGGACCAATTTCCTACACCACACACAAAAATAAACTCAAAATGGATTAAAGACCTAATGTGAGACCTGAAACCATAAAACTCCTTGAAGAAAACATAGGCAGTAATTTCTTTGACAACAGCTGTAGAAACATTTTTCTAGATATGGCTCCTCAGGTAAGGGAAACAAAAGCAAAATTAAACTACTGGGACTATACCAAAATAGAAAGTTTTGGTTTTTTTTTTTAAGTAGGCTCCATGCCCAGTGTGGAAATCAGCACAGGGCCTGAATTCACCACCCTGAGATCAAAACCTGAGCTGAGATCAAGAGTCTGAAACCCAGCTGACAGAGCTACCAGCTGCCCTCAAAATAAAAAGCCTTTGCACAGCCAAGGAAACCGTCAGCAAAACAAAAAGGCATCCTACTAAATGGGGGAAGAAATTTGCAAATGTTCTCTGCTTCTCCCTCTGCCCTTCCCCTGCCCGACCTGTGCTCTGTCTAGGCTGTCTCTCAAATAAGTAAATAAAATCTTTAAAAAGAGTACACTTATCTTGATGAACACTGAATAATGTATAGAATTGTTGAATCATTACATTGTACACCTGAAGCTAATGTAACTGTATGTTAATTATACTTCAATTTGCAAAATATGAGCATTCTTCCCAGCAGTATACTGAGAGAAAGATTTGCTGGGGCCTGGTTTAGCGCAACCAAGGTATAGAAAGAACTGCAGTAGTTGGGAGGCAGAGTGGTAAATTGCAGAATGTGGACGTTCAGGAAGCCGTTATGAATGGTGGCAGATCAAGAGAGCACCAAAGTCTTCAGAAACTTAAAGTGTATTATTTTCAGCCGATGCGCCACATTTCTGCAAATGATACCTTGAGACAAGCTGAACTTAAAGAGTATTGGGGTGATGGTAATTTGGATCCCAGGCAGACAATAATGTTTGACTTATTTTGTTCTTTACAGATACCAGTGGGTCAAAGACAATAATTTTTATCAAACTGATAAAGAGATGGATCTCAGCAAAATTCAGCACTGAAACTGGAGGATTTACAGTTGACAAGTAAAGCAAAATTCTGAGTGATTACCAAGAAAGGGAATGTAAAGAGGCAAAAAGAGTTGAAAAAAAGAAAAGGTAAGGAAATAAAGGCAACCTACCGAATGGGAGAAGATATTTACAAATGACAAATCAAATAAAGGGTTAATATCCAAAATACATAAAGAACTCTTAAACTCAACACCCAAAACCCAAATAATCCAATTAAAAAATGGACAGAAGACATGTACAGACATTTCTCCAAAGAATACATCCAGATGGCTAATAGGCACATGAAAAGATGCTCAGCATCACTCATCAGCAGGAAAATGCAAATCAAAACTGCAATGAGATATCACCTCACACCTGTCGGAATGGCTAAGATCAAAATCTCAAGAAACAACAAGTATTGGCAAGATTATGTAGAAAAAGGAACCCTCATGCACTGTTGGTGGGATGCAAACTGTGCAGCCACTGTGGAAAACAATATGGAGGTTCCTCAAAGTTAAAAACTGAACTACCCTAGGGCCCAATAATTGCACTACTGGGGTTTTACCCAAAACATGCAAGACATTAAATCAAAGGGATACATACACTGCTATGTTTATTGTAGCATTATTTATAATAGTCAAACTATGGAAGCAACCTAAGTGTCCAGAATGGATAAAGATGTGGGGTGTGTGTATGTGTGTTTGTATGTACCAGCCATAAAAAGAATGAAACCTTGCCGTTTGCAATGATGTGGATGGGCTAGAGATGATATATATAATACTAGGTGAAGTACGTCAGAGAAAGACAAACACCATATGATCTCACTCATGTGGAATTTAAGAAAAAAGCAAATGCTTTTTTTCTTAAGGACAGAGAACAAACTGATGGTTATCAGAGGGGGAGCTGGGTGGGGGATGGGTGGAATAGGTGATGGGGAGTAAGAGCACACTTATCATGATGAATACTGAGTAATGTATGGAATTGCTGAATCACTATACTGTACACCTGAAACTAATGTTAACCCTGTATGTCAACTATACTGGAATTTAAGTGAAAAACTTAAAAGGAAAAAAAATGTCTGAGGCAAAAAAAAAGAAAAGGTAATGAAATAGAGGAGTAGCCAAAAGGGAAGAAAAACAATGATGGTAACATAGTAAGAGAAGTGGAGGAGAAGATTTTCAAAAGTGAGTGATCAAAAGTATCAAATATTCTAAAGAAGTCACAGAAAAGTAAGAATGAAAACTAGTGAGTACATTTAGTGATTAGGATATGACTGACTGATAATTTTTAAAGGGGCAGCTTTAACTAATAGGTGGGGGTGATACTCAAATCACAAAGGATAAAGAAGTAGCAAATAAGACAGTAAAGAAACTCTTTAAAATGTTGACAGTAAAAGGAAGACAAGAAAATATGCAAAGTGAAGGCAAATCTTGTTCATCCTAAAAAAATGTCTGAAAATATGTGCAGGCAGAAGGAATGTGGTAGAAGGAAAGAGATGAAATGAAGATACAAATTAATTGAATAAGGCTGTAGAGAAAATGGAAGACACAAGGGGCAGGATTTGCTTTCAGAAAGTGAGAAATGTCTTTTTCTGAGATTAATGTCTGGATAAAGGGAGAAAAACCTGAGGTAGAAAAAAGTTAATCTTGGTAAAAATGAAAAGGATGACCTCTGAGTAACTAGTAGGAACAAGACTAAAAACCAAGAGACTAGAATAAAATCTAAGGGTATTGAAAACGATTTAAAAAGATGTCGTAGATAAAAAAAAAACAACAACAAAGAGGTATTTTTTAAAAACAAAGAACTAAATTAAAGTTAAAAATCACAAATTCAGAGCTAATTAAATCAAGTGCAGTTGGTAGTTTGGAAAGGAACACAGCAAAAGATCGAAAAGGATAAGAGATTCATGGATAGCAAGGTTAAACATGTCTGAAGATGTAAAGGATTCTAGGATAAAAAGCAAACAACATTCAAAACAGATGACCTTAAGGGTGAGGTTGATATGAAGTTAGACTGGTGCTGCTGGACTGAAAAGAAGGGTCAAGACTCTAAAAATCATGAGGTAACGAGAATTCAAAATGAATGAATATTGTATATAATGAGCGGAGTTGGGACCGTGATAAAGAAGGGGGGTAGAACATGTAACAGAGGTCTTGTTATGATCTGCAAGAAAACCACTTTTACTGGTTATATCTTATTTCTGACTGAAAATAAATGGAACTACCTCAGTTTGAATAATCAACTTAGCATATTTATATCTGAACAATTTTATGTATTAAAAAAGTATCCTTCTTGAAAGAATAAAGCAAGCTGCTACTAATGAGGTCCAAATGAAAGTAATGTGGTCTCAGAAGTCCTTCTCAAGACTACAGTACATGGTAGGCACTAAAATAATACAAACTGAATTGATGTATGAAAAGGAATTCTAATAGTAGCATCATGACTAGAATATCCCTATAGTCTCTCATTTCACATTTCATTGAATGAATACAAAGATAAATGGCTTGAAAGACTAACGGACAGAAAGATGGTTGAAAGGAAGGGGGAGAAGGGACGGAGTGGTAGGGGAGAGTACACTCATGTGAGCACCAGTAATATTCTTACCATCTTTGATAAACCTGGAATCTCTCAAAGTGCTTTGAAGAGGATAACACTTATGTCGTTCCATGTATTTATTTGATAAATATTTTGAAAACATTAAAAATTTTATGTTTGAGAATAATCACATTTTAAAGGACTTAGAAAAACAAACTCAAAAAACAAATTCACCAAACAAACATACTCTAATTTCATTGGTCTAACTGTTCTTAAAAATTTCTGTCCCCCTAATTTCGTGATTTATTACACTGGAAAAAATGTTAAGTAATATCTAGAAGTTTCCTATTAGTCAATCCTTTTAGCTCCTTGATGTGACAACTAATAGGACAACTTAAGTTTTAAAAAAAACAAACATCTTAAATGGAATGTTGATTGGTGGTACACGTGTTTAACTTACCTCACCATATGATTTATAAAGGCTTTGTTACAGTTAGTGTTGTATTTGCAAAAATTACAGTGGATATATATTGAAAAGTGGCTTGCAAAATCTTTTATTTTGGAATGACACTCAATGCACTTGTGAACTCCCCGACGACACCTTATAGAGACAGGAAAAAAAAGATGAAAACATATCATGAAACAAAAGTAATAAAGCAAACCCTTATTAACGTTTTATTAACTGAAGCTAAGATGTTTAAATTAACATCTTTAAATAGAGACATAATTTGAAGTTGCTCCAATTTGATTTGGGAAACAATAAGCTAGAATGAGTGTCAAAAATTAAATACCAGTTAATGTTTCCCTGGAATAAAAGGGATCACATTAATCAATTCAACTATCACAAGGTATAAGCACAAAATAGATTAGTGTAATTGATGATAATTGTACAATGAACACCAATTCCAGTTCCGCTCAGCGGTTGTAAAGAGTACCTTTTTATTATCTGCTTAGCCTTTATGTCAGACAAGTGATCAGAAGTAACCACGTAAAGGACCTTTGTGATATGATAAATTATATTAAAACAAACCTTTAATATTTCATATTCAATTAGTATTATATATCAGGAATAGAAGATATTACCTTAGGTTCTTCAAAGCTATGCTGATTTTATTCTTTCTGTTGCGCTGTTTCTTTTGCTTGTAAGAGGTTTTAGTCTTGCATTTAGATGCGCCTCTACCTCGCTTACTGGCATTAGGTTTAGTTGCATGAGGCTTACTTGCCTTAGATTTACTTGCATTAGATTTTGTGGGATTCTTAGCAGTTGTACTTTTAGACTTTGCAGGTGAGAGCTGAAAAGAAGAAGTGCTTGGAACGCTACTACTGGGAGATGAAGTAACTGGTTTTGAATGAAGCGGTCCAATTGAGGCTCGAATAGTAACCTATAAAAAAGAGGGCAAAATATATATACACATTTTAGAAAATTAATCCTTGCATTAATATTAAAAAATTCATTGTGTGCCTCGACATTATAGTCCATTGGTTTTTTTAAAGATTTTATTTACTTATTTGAGAGAGAGATCACAAGTAGGCAGAGAGCTAGGCAGAGAGAGGGGAAGCAGGTTCCTTGCTAAGCGGAAAGCCCGATGCGGGGCTCGATCCCAGGACCCTGAGATCATGACCTGAGCCGAAGGCAGAGGCTTAACCCACTGAGCCACCCAGTGCCCCTAGTCCATTGGTTTTTGACAAGGGTACCAAAACAACTCAGTGGAGGAAACACTAGTCTAATCAAACAAATGGTGCCAGCACAATTGGATATCTAGATGCAAAAGAATGAATTTGGACCCTTACCTCATACTAGATACAAAAATTAACTCAAAAGGTATCAATTTTAAGAGCTAAAACTATAACTCTTAGAAGAAAACAGGAGTAAATCTCCATGATTTGGGGTTGGGCAATGACTCCTTACATACGATAGCAAAAGCACAACAACCAAAGAAAAACATAGATTAAATGGACTTCATAAAAATTTTAGACTTTTGTGTTTCAAAGGACAATGTTAAGAAACTGACAAGACAACTCACAGAATGAGAGAAAGTATTTGCAAACCATATTTCTTTTTTTAAAAAAGATTTTGTCAGAGAGAAAGAGCGAGGGAGAGAGCATACAAGCACGGTGGGCAGCAGGCAGAAGGAGAAGCAGGCTCCCCACTGAGCAAGGAGCTGGATGTGGGACTCAATCCCAGGACCCTGGGATCATGACCTGAGCTGAAGGCAGGCACTTACCAACTGAGCCAGCCAGGCAACTGGCAAGTCATATTTCTAATAAGGGACCTGTATACAGAATATATAAGGAATGGAGAGTAGACTCAATAATACCAGCTTCAACAAAGGATGGCATTCAAGGCACTATGTTAGATGCTAGGGACCCATAGACAACTCACTGACTTAGTCTACAGTTAATCTAGCTGCACTCACTATAAAGGATGTGCTCCAATGTAGCATGTGTCAATTAACTCAAAAAAACAATGGGTATTAGTTTTTCTTTCCAAACATAAGAATGACAAAACCTAAGGGATACCCGGGTGGCTCAGTCGGTTAAGTGTCTCCTTTCAGCTCAGGTCATGATCCCGGAGTCCTGGGATCGAGTCCCGCATTGAACTCCTTGCTCAGCAGGAAGCTTGCTTCTCCCTCTGCCTTCCACTCCCCCTGCTTGTGTTCTCTTTCTCTGACAAATAAAATAAAAAAGATAAAACCTAAAATTAAATCTTAATGACAAGCAGAAGTTAATTTTTAGTATTATAGAAAAAGCCAGGCAGGAATTTACTTGTATTATCACACAAAATGTTAAAATACAGCATTTAAAAAAAATTTTTTTTTAAAGATTTTATTTATTTGACAGAGAGAGTTCAAAGTAGGCAGAGAGGCAGGCAGAGAGAGGGAGGGAAGCAGGCTCCCCGCTGAGCAGAGAGCTCGATCCCAGGACCCTGAGACCATGACCCGAGACGGAGGCAGAGGCTTAACCCATTGAGCCACTCAGACGCCCCAAAATATAGCATATTTAAAACTCACTTTTGTACCAGGAGGCAATCCTTCTAGCTCTTTAGGCTTTATAAAGGTCCGATGCTGGGTCTTGTGATCCAGTTTCTCTTTGCAGGTCAAAAACTGTAGTCTGCATTTTGTACAACGATGAACTCCTTTTTTCTGTTTACAAAAAAAAAAAATTAAAAATACTATCAGAAATAATAACTCCTACTACCACAAATCCTGGAACCTGAAGTTGCTCTAAATTGTAACAGCTAAATAATTTTTAAAAACCAGTATTTTACCATATCCCATCATAAATAATGCCAAAGTATTATTTCATTTTTAAAAACACTGCTTGCATTAGTATTTGTGTTTCAAAAGTATTTGTGGGGTGCTTGGATGGCTCAGTCAGTAGAGCATACAACTCTTGGTCTCAGGGTTTTAAGTCTGAATCCCACATTGGGTGTAGCCATTTACTAAAAAAATTTAAAAAAAAGATCTTAAAAAAAAAGCATTTCTTACCATATAGGCAATCAAAATGAAAACTGTATCAGTTACGTTAAAATGTGATGAGTCCTATACCTTTGTAGCATGAAAGCTTTTTTAATTATAAATTTGAAGTATAAACCGTTCAAACACATGACACCATGAAAATGAGTTATACTATATATATATATATTTTAAAGATTTTATTTATTTATTTGTTAGAGAAAGAGAGAGAGAGCATGAGCACAGGCAGACAGAGTGGTAGGCAGAGGCAGAGGGAGAAGCAGGCTCCCCACTGAGCAAGGAGCCCGATGTGGGACTCGATCCCAGGACGCTGGGATCATAACCTGAGCCGAAGGCAGCCGCTTAACCAACTGAGCCACCCAGGCGTCCCGAGTTATACTATATTTTTATCCTAGAAAAGACCAAGTTATTTTTAATTTTTAAAACTTCTATTTGCTTCATAAAAAGTTGAAATTCTTATAACCAAAAAATTTAATTAATTTAAATTTAAATAGACACAGGTGGCTAGTGGCTGTGATACTGAACAGCATAGGTGCAGAAGTACAAATCAGAACAACTGATCCCAATCTACTGTCAGAGAACCCCTTGACTAAGTCTTCTCAAACTCAGGCCTATTATTATTTTATCAGTGGGAATTGGGACCCAAGAGAGCTCTAAGTCATTGGCTCACAACTAGTGGGTCTTCTAGTATATACTAATAATTACAGTCTTTATGTATATGCTCTCACTAATTAAAAATATATTTTATATTTATATGTAAATTTAGAACATACAAATGCAAAAGAATGTTTTCTCCAAAGCTACATCTCCAAAGGTCTGTCACTATTTCTATGTTAAGCACAAAACAGTCATTTAGGAGAAGCAAATGAGTTAAAATAAACGAAAGTAGCTAGCAGTTACTGGAGCACAGCAGGCATTTGATAAATAAAATTTCTTTAAAAATTTCAAAGCAGGGGCGCCTGGGTGGCTCAGTCAGTTAAGCATCTGCCTTCGGCTCAGCTCATGATCCCAGGGTCCTGGGATCGAGTCCCAAATCGGGCTCCCTGCTCGGCAGGAAGCCTGCTTCCCCTTCTCCCTCTGCCTGTCGCTCCCCCTGCTTGTGCGTGCTCTGTCAAATAAATAAAAAAAAATCTTTTTTAAAAATTTCAAAGCAATATGGAAATATGTTTGTATATTAATGTTTTAGGTTCATTTTTAAGACAATTTTAAAGTATGGTGCATTAGATCATATCATAGGTACAGGCAATGTAAACAGATTACTCACCTAATACATGCTTAAAAGAGAGGAGAAAGGGAAAAAGATCTCAGTCAAGAAACAGACGGCAAGATAACAGGACAGAAAGAAAATTCCCCAGAGCACAGTTCCTGGAAGTCTTTTCTCTGCTGGTACCTATACCTCATCTAGTTTCACGATTTTAAATAGTATCCATCTAATTGCCTACTCCATATCACTACTTGATATCTAATAGGTATTTCAAGTCAACATGGACAAAACTGAACTCTAAATTTTCCCCTGTTCACCCTGAAAAAAAAAAAATCTGTTCCTTGCCTAGTCTTCCCAATATCTCAATAATGGAAACACCATTTTTTTTTCAAAATTTTTATTTATTCATTTGACAGACATCACAAGTAGGCAGAGAGGCAGGCAGAGAGAGAGAGGAGGAAGCAGGCTCCCTGCTGAGCAGAGAGCCCGATGCGGGGCTCGATCCCAGGACCCCGAGATCATGACCTGAGCCGAAGGCAGAGGCTTAACCCACTGGGCCACCCAGGTGCCCCGGAACACCATTCTTGGTAGTGGCTCAGGACAAAAGAACTCGGTTACTCTTAACTCTTGTCTTTCACACCCCACATCCACCAACCCATTAATAAAATCTGTCAGCTCTACCTTCACGATCACCTGTTCAGCCACAGTATCAGTCCAAGCCACTCACCTGGACTCTAACAATAGCCTCCTGCCTTCTTGTTTCCACTCTTTCCTCCTAACAGTGTATTCTCTCCATAGTTTCCAGAGTCATCTCTCACATGCTTAAAGCCGCCAATGGCTTTCCATACCACACCAAAATCCTAACTCTGGCTCACAAGATCCTACGCCATCTGCTCTGCTCTCTACTGGTATGATCTTCTTTCCTACTACTCTTCCTCCCACTTGTCTGTCATACTCTGGCCACACTGGCCTTCTTGCTGCTCCTTGAACATCTAGATATATGCTCACCTCACTGCCTACTTACTGTTCCCTCTCCTTGGAATGTTCTCTCCCAGATACCCACATAGCTAACCCCTTATTTTCTCTGGAGAGGTTCTCTTTGCCCATATAAAAAACAGAAATGGCTCCTTCACCTCCTAAGTCGTGGCACTCACAGCCCTCACATGTTTTCATCCCATGGTACTTATCACCAGCTGGCACACATAAACATTCAGACATAATACACATACTTTTTTCACTACAATGCAAATTCCAGAGAGCACAAACTTTGCTTTGCTCACTTCTGTGAAACAGCCCCTAGCATATATTAAGCACTCAATAAATATTTGTTAAATAAATAGTGAGGCAGACAGCAAGAGATTGACAGAACGTGCACAAGAGAAGCAGGCACAATTTAACTAGTTGAAAATGTCTGCCATTTCATTGAATGAGCATTTACCCAGCACCCTGGGATGGGAGACATTAAGCTACTATGCCCTTAGTTGGACTCAAGTCTTGCGTATCTTAATGCATGTATGCTTGAGATGTGGTAAGGAGGATAATATGGTACTTCTTTAAATAATACAACATTCAACCAAAAAACTGGTGATGTGTTCCAAGGACAGAGAATAACTTGTTTCAGTTGAACATCCTGACAAACACACTGTATTGTTTGGGTGATCTGAAGAATTTTGAAGGCTAATTCTGACTATCTGTAACATCTGCTTTGAGACCTAGCTTCAATAAGAGATAGGACTCTAGTAAAACCTTGGGCTTTAAGTCTATTTTTGGCTTTGCCCTTTATTAGAGAATATGACATTGGGCAAGTAACTTATTCTCTCTAAATCTTTGTTTCCTCATTGATGAAATGAAAATGATCAATACCTGTTTTATAGGGTGGTTGAGAGGACTAAACAAAATAATGGAAGTAAAAACACTGTGACTGTCATATTGCACGTGATTTGTATATATTTACTTTTGATTTTTTTAAAGATCTAGTAAGAATACTTGACATATCTAAGGTCCCTCATCCTTTCTTAAAAGTTGTGCGAACTGTATTTTAGCTCTAAAATCACTTCAGACATGATAATATATTCCTTTTAGGAAAAGGTTACAACTAAAGTCTTTAAAAAGAATAAAATGAGCCATATATTCAATAATTCCTAATATCTAAAATCACACTTCCATTACCTCAATTACAAGTATAATCTTGCTCAGTTATATGGTTTTTGAGTCTTCTGTGAACAACTATGTAAACTGCAAGTGCTTTGAAAAATGCTTGATGATCCTTCTGATTAATAGAGTCTTTCTTCGGAGCGCCAGGGTGGCTCAGTGGGTTAAGCCTCTGCCTTTGGTTCAGGTCATGATCTCAGGGTCCTAGGATCGAGCCCCACATCGGGCTCTCTGCTCAGCAGGGAGCCTGCTTTCCCCCTCTCCCACTGTCTGCCTCTCTGCCTACTTGTGATCTCTCTGTCAAATAAATAAATCTTAAAAAAAAATAGAGTCTTTCCTCTGTTGACTGCTGACTGCCTACCTCTTAGGTACTCCAAACTCACAAAAACTGGGCACCAATGTTGGGCCACTAGTCCTCAAGACTACTCCCAGAACTTATAGGACTTAGAAGTTGTTAAACTCATAGATATGATTTATTATAGTGAAAGGATACAGAGCAGGATTAAAGGGCATTGGGTGGAGTCTGGAGGATACTAGCACCAGTTTCCAAGCACCCTCTCCCAATGGAGTTGCCCAGGACATGACTCAGTCAATCCCCCAGCAACTAACTGCAGCAACATGTATGAAGTGCTTTTTACCAGGAAAGCTCTCTTGAGTCTAAGAGGCCAGAGTTTTGTTTTTTTTTTATAAGGTTTAGTCACCAAATCTTCAGTCTCCCAGAGGAAAAGAAGGTGTTCACCATAATCATACTTTTTGTACAAATGATCTAGAAAAGCTGGTGAAATTTGGCTAGGTTCCAGACATGAAAAACACTCATCAATTAATAACAAAGGCTCAGTTTCCAGGAGTTAGCCAAGGGCCAATTATGGAAGTATGCAAGTAGACCCTTCTGAAAATGTACAGGATTTGAACAACTCACACCTGCTGGGTTAACTCTTTCTTATACACCTGGCAAGTGAAGACATACAATTCAGGGTATGAAGAGTGACTACCGATCAGGTAAACCACTTTTAAGAGAGACAGTCCCCATACCAGGTCCACCCATCTCTTTCTTACCTTTCTAAGGATACTATTATTCTGTTATATCTATACCTCACTCTGGAGCTCAGGAAAGCATGGCAGAAAGCACTATGTTAAAAGCTTCATAATGAAGTAGTTAGAGCTGTTTTATATCTCATTCTTCCTTTCAAAATCAAAGGTCAAAAGATGGAATAGAGAACCAAGACCAGCATTTTCCAAACTATTTCTCAAGAAATGTTAATAGGTATTGTGCAAATAAATGGTTAAATAAGTACTGGGGACAGTCTATACAATATCCCTCCCTTGGAGATTTATGAGGTTTTCCAGCATTTTAAAAGCTCTAATCTTAAAATTTAAAAAAAAACCAACAACTGTTAATTTTATAAATCTAGCCATTTACTGAATTTCTTTTCCCAGGAGCAATTTTAGAATGGGACATCTATTAACATCTGATGGAAAACTGTTGGGGAAACTCCAGAATAGAAAGATTTTACCTGAGGTTCTTAAGGGTGAGATGTCATGCCAGCATGTTGGAACCATCCCAGTCATAACATAGGTGATTCTGAACGTACTTGGATATTCTAATTTTGTAAATTTTTTTCAATTAACAAGTTGATTTCATGATCATCTAATGACTAGAACTGAAAACCATGTTAGCACCAATGCTGAGTAAACTGGCCATGACAATGCAATCAATAATAAGAAAATGTAATGAGCTGATCAGTGAGGAGACAAAACTTGATTACATAATCACATTTAGTAAACTCACTGACTTCTAATTTTGGCAAAGGTACTGCTGCTCTTTCAAACACTCAAGAATAGGCTTACTGTTTCATCAAAGTTTTCAGCCTAACTAAAGGATGGTCTAATTGCGTCAGGAAAAGACCCAGCAAGGATAAAATGAGAATTCAAGAGAAAGGGGCAAGCACTAACACTGGTATTCCAGAAATTACATAGCAGAACTGGCAAAAATCATCCAGAAACAAGTTACAACCTAAATATAGCTCTTTGGCATAGTTCACATATTTAGAAATAAGTGTCATTGCTGTTTTCTTTGTCACTCGCTGCTACAAAAGACCATTCTGGGTTGCTAATAACAACCACATGTCTTTTCATAATGAAAAGTGAGCTATAAAGTGGAAATGAAGTTTGAAGAGGAGAAAAAAAGAATGAGTCCTCAGTCTTGATCCCTAGTTCCAACACCTCCTCTTTCTTGCTCTTGATTAACTACCTTCAAAATCATTCCCATTTTCACCACTCTTAGACCCCTGAAATAGTCAACTTAAATATTTCACCCATCTTTCCTCTTCCCTTCCACTCCAGGGTTCCTATTTCTGCCTAAGCTTCTGAAACTTCACTAGTCAAGAGCCTCATCACCACTGGGAGGCAGACAAAGAAAAGAAGTGGAAGTTTCACAAGTCATTCAGCATAAATTGTAAATTAATTGTGTCATTTGGAACCACTTAACTTTCCTTTTAGAACAAATCTAACCAATGCTCAAAGTTTTATATATCTACCTTTTTACTAAGACAAAATGAGCAAATAACTGCTAAATCTCACCTGATGCTTCATGTAATGATTCATGTAGGGAGTTGCCATTCTACTAACTTTGAGGCAAAATGGACATAGCAAGTTCTTAGTGTTTTCATGAGATGCTCTAAAATGACTTTCTACATCAGAAAATGTTGATGATCTAAACTGGCACACCTAGAAATACAAAGACGGTTTAGTTTAACTTCAAAGTTCATAACTGAAACACAATTACATCAAAGTAGCAATGACAAGTCATTCGTTTAAGAAGAATATCATGCACTACTAATTCAGCTCTGTTGCCTATACAACCAAGAATTCTAGCACTGAAAATAATAAGTATAATCCTTGAAACAGAAAAGTTATCTTTTGAAGTTTAGGGATATATTCCTAAATATAACCAGATTTCCTTCTTTTCAGGTCTATTATCCCCCCTAACTTGCTTGAATTTTCAAACTCTGACATCTCTTGTCCGAGAAAGATTTTCCTGCTACATAGAATATTCTTTTGATTTTAGACAGCATCCAGGATGGCAAGCGGCAATTTTTCTTATCTTGCTATCTAATTGGGGACCACTTCAAATTCTGGAAAAATACAAGTTCCAAAGCATTTAGCTAAGTTCCCCATAACTAACAGCATTTCCTATTTCTCTGCCATGTCTATGTTCTTCTGTACATGGTAAGAAAATCCACATATTTGTCTTCTCCAGCAGAGTATTTTGTTTGTCTAGTATGGGGTCAGTAAACCATAGCCTCTAGTCCAAGTCCAAAACCATCAACACGTATATGAGTTATATCAAGGGAGTTTCCACTATTGAAGATTTTAGTAATTCATTTTATTCCAACAGTTATTAAAAAGATCAATAGAATAATACTATTTTGTAGCACATGAAACTAAAACAAGAACCTGAGTACATGATAAAATGTATGTGTACCTGGCAAATATATGGCATTTCACCGGGTTTATGAGTATCCTTCATATGTTGCAAAAGAGCATGCTCTGTTTCAAATGATAATTCACAGATTTTGCAAATAGCTGAAAGTAGGAAAAAAAACATTACCATTTTACAGATGTATAATAAATAAAAGATTCATTTTGTACATCCACAATAGCAATAAGTAGTAATAGTAACAGTGGTGATGGCTCCGACAGTTCCATAGGTGTTAACTCTGTAACGTTCTTCCACGGACTCTACTTATATTAGCTTACCTCTCATACCATCATTGACAAAATACTGCTATTTTACCCCCATTTTTCAGATAAGGAACCTGAGGCACAGAAAGATTAAGTAACTTGCCTGAAATCTCACAGCTATATTAAGATGCAGAACTGGAATTTAAATCCTAGCTAACCCCAGACTCTGTGATTTTTAATTATCATTGCGGTTACTTTTCTTATGAGAGTATAAATCAAGACTAATGATTTCATACTTGCAAACCAGAGAACCCTAACTTAGCCCCCTATATATAATGAATGCATGAGTTATGCAAAGGAAGTTTCTATGTACAAGAGGGACTTCAGTTTTAAAAAGCAACTCTATTGAAAAGTTTATATAAGTGAAAACTTGTTTTTAAACTGTGCCCTCAAATCCCAAGTCCATTTCTCATTTTTAGGTTTCTAATCAGAATTCTTAAGGATTCCTCATAGTTTAGATGACCAAAAAAAATTACTGTTCAAGACTTCAATAAAATTGTGACTTACTAGAAAACTCATGGGGAGTGTGTGTACTCTCAATGTGACACTGCAGCTGGAATGGTGTGGGATACTGACGGTAACAGTGCTGGCAGGTAGTGTGGTTTTCCCAGCTCTCACTGTTCTGCTTCTCAAGTTCCAAATGGTGCTTCATGTGGTTCATAAACCTGTAAGTGATTGTCAACAGGTACAAATATTCAGATTTATAATCAAGGGGAAAAACCTCTCAAATAAAGATTTGAACCTAAATGGTAAAAATGCAGTTGTAGTACTCAAAATAATATCTCCAAAGCCTTAGAGTCCTTTAAAAAGTGTGCACTTGAAATAATCACATTTATCTGTTTGTCAGTCAGAGCGAGCGAGCAGAAGTAAGGGGAGGGGCAGGCAGAGCAAGATCGATGCGGCACTCGATCCCAGGACCCAGGGATCATGACCTGAGCTGAAGGCAGACTCTTAACTGACTGAACCATCCAGGTGTCCCAATAATCACTTTCATTAAGTGGCTCAGTAAACATCTTTCTTTGCATCTTTGTTTTAAAACAATCCATTTATACAGTTCATATGAAATACCACTAATTTGCTAGAACGCTTCATTACTTCAGATTTTAAAAATTTTGTAAAAAGGGGCTCCTGGGTGGCTCATTCGGTTAAGTATCTGCTTTCAGCTCAGTTCATGATCCCAGGGTCCTGGGATTAAGTCTTGAGTTGGGCTCCCTGCTCAGAGGGAAGTCTGCTTCCCCCTCTTCTCCTCGCTCCTTCTCTCTGTCTCTTTCTCTTGCTATCTCTGTCTCTCTCAAATAAATAAATAAATAAATAAATAAATAAATAAAACCTTAAAAAAATTTGTAAAGGACAACAGGCTTCTTTTCCCTACATGAAGTACTATTTACATTTGAAAATAAAATCCCTACAGAAAGAAAATCCTATCACCGAAAGCACCTACACAGTCCCGAGAGAAATCTTTCAAAGATATACAATAGGTTGTCAGCTGCCTAATGACAAATTAATATTTTTATTTGTGTTTTGGTTTCTAAATGCAAGTAGTAGCACTTTTAATACCTTTAATTATGAGAATTTTTCTTGATTACAAGAACCTTTTTGTTTTATTTAATAGTGCTGGTTTACTGTGAGCACAAACACTTCATTTTTCATAGACCATGCCCTCTGAAGCACAGTCCACTTTTTAGCTCTACATTCCACTATCAGATTCCCTAATAGGTTTCTTTTTTTTTTAAGGTTTTATTTATTTATTTATTTGACAGAGAGACAGAGATCACAAGTAGGCAGAGAGGCAGGCAGAGAGGAGGAAGCAGGCTCCATGACGAGCAGAGAGTCTGATGCAGGGCTTGATTCCAGGACCCTGAGATCATGACCTGAGTTGAAGGCAGAGGCTTAACCCACTGATCCACCCAGGCGTCCCCCTAATAGGTTTCTTATAAGAAGGAATTGTGACCTTCAGTGGCAGAGACTAAAATATAAAAAGGCAGATCTATTTCAGAGCGCTTATTAAAACTTTTTACTAAATTTCAAAGTAAAGTTATTCAAAGTAACAATTTTAATACTGAGTCAAATATTAACAGTTATTCATTATGAGTCCCAAAAGGATATAATCTTGAAGTGATAGTGTCATCAACCTAGGTAGCAATCATAATACACAGGCTTTAACATTTACCTTTTTACATCTCCTGCTCATGGTACACTCTGAAATAGTTTTTTCTCCTTTAATTTTTTTAAGTAGGCTCCATGCCCAATGTGAGGCTTGAACTCATGACCCTCAGATGAAGAATCACATGCTCTGCCAACTAAACCAGCCAGGTAACCACCCCCTTTAATTTTAACATCATCTCTATTAAAATCCGTTTTGTTTTTTTTTAAAGATTTTATTTATTTGCCAGAGAGAGAGAGAGAGAGTAAGCAAGTACACACAAGCAGGCAGAGGCAGCGAAAGAAGCAGGTTCCCTGCCGAGCAAGGAGCCCGATGCGGGACTCGATCCCAGGAACCTGGGATCATGACCTGAGCCGAAGGCAGCGGCTTAACCCACTGAGCCACCCAGGCGTCCCTTAAAATCCGTTTTTTAAAAAAGTCCTAGTTTTGGCTAAATATTTACATATAAAGGTCATAAACCATTAACCTTTCAGCTCATAACTTTTTTTTTTTGGTTAGAGAAAGTGAGCACAGGCAGATAGAGTGGCAGGCAGAGGCAGAGGGAGAAGCAGGCTTTCTGCTGAGCAAGGAGCCCGATGTGGAACTCGATCCCAGGATGCTGGGATCATGACCCGAGCCGAAGGCAGCCGCTTAACCAACTGAGCCACTCAGGCGTCCCAGCTCATAACTTTAAGTAATAAAATCTATCTGTATAAAGTGATCTGTTAACTAACTAGCTATCTCTCAATTATTACACTGCCCCCATCGGCAGTGCATGTTTCTCAAACCAGCAGATGGAGATGCGGGAAAAAGCAACCCCCTCACAAAACTATTCTCAGAATAAAATAGCCCTAACTGGTTTTACTGACACTTAATGCAGGAAAAAATAATCCTACAATATCTTGACAGGGCAGAGAGTAGAAATCTTGAACTATCAGCTTCTATCATCCTCTAAAAACCATCAATTTGCCATCCCAGATTTTACCATTAAGGTAAAATATTATTTAACACACATTAACCTCTTTGGTTACACAGAGTCTACTGTTCAGGTTTTATTTACTAAAAATATGTCAAAAATGCTACAAAATTTCTAAATGTTATAAAATATGGTTAGCTTAAAATTTCTAGATATTCTGATAATGTGTAACCAGTCCTTTGAAATGGGAAAAAAAAAAGGGGAAACTTCATGTTAAATAGTAAATGGACTAATCTTACAGGAAAAAACAAAACACTATTGCTGAAAGAACTTCAAATATCATATAACATTTAAATATAATAAGGAACTTAAACAGAGACCCACATTTCTATGAATTTTAGTGAATTTATTAATTTTCTTTTCTGATGTATTTTACTGTAAAAAGGTAAAGATATGGACGCAGGTCACAGAGTTCTATCCTAACACTCTTTCAGTGTTACATATCAAAGCACAATTCTTTTCTCTTAAGCTACTGGGCCATTAGCAACTAATGGCTATTAGGGCTTGATAAAAGGAGGTAAAGAAGTATGAAAACTCATATAAATATATGTGAAAGGTCTTTGAAAACTCTAAGGCACTACAAATGTAACATTCATAATTGTTTTAGGTTTATATTACAATGCATTTCAGTGGTTTTCTATGTACTTTATCTTGGACTCAAGAATTCATCAGACAACAAAATAAATGCTAGGCTTAGAAATGACCTATAGGTTACCTAAGAATGCTAGTTACAAAGGATAGTTATCAATGGTAAATATCTTTAAAAGTTTACACATACATGTGTGTATATGTGTGTGGTACAATATACATACATATGACTACCTCATCTAAGGGAAGTATACTGGTGTCTGTAATTTACTCTGAAATGTAAAGTAAATCAGATAGAGTCTATTGGTGAACAGATGTGTGGTACACCTGAGGTAAAGTGTTAATGGTAGAATCAAGGTGGTAATTATACAGATGTTTACTGTAAAATTTTTTCAACTTTGAGGAATATTTGAAAATTTTTATAATAAAATGTTGAAAAGACAATGTCAGACTACATAACCAATGAAAAATACCAATCAGTATATCTTGTTTTGTTTTGGTTGCTATCTTACTTAGGATTGTAGATACGTAATATGCCATATTCCTCAAAGACTGCAAAGTGTAAGTTCCTAAAATTTAAAGCATACACATATAAATCTTCAAAATCTTCAAAACTGAAAATTAAATCTGTACTTTTAAAATGTGTTAAATTATAAACTCAAAGCAGACATGTTTCATAAACTGGCACTTCTCTAAAGAAGATCATCAAAAGTGTCACTTTCTCTGCAAGGTTAATGTGATAAAGATGATAATACGAATTGAAAAACTAGAACATTAAATAAGACTAATATGGAAGAAGTCAAACTGGATAAAGTAGTTCTTCCTGTGATAGGCAAAGCAGATTCAAAAGAAGCTTAATAATAATACCTCATTGAAAATTATGAGTTTGATGATAAATATAGACAAGTGATTTTTCTCTAAGTTAAAATAAATTTTGCCCTTAAGTTGTATTAAAGAAATACAATGAAGGGGATCCAAGTGTCAAACCCCTAAAATACAATAAAAGACAAAAGCTTTGACACGATAATCTGCTTTTATTCCTAGTAGAAAGTGTTAAATTGCTTATCTAGGATAGCACAGGAAAATAAAGATATGATATTTATATCAGTAGCATTCCAATTTTCAGACAGAGAAATAAATATTTACATACCTAATATTGTTTTTAAGAACTTTCAAGCAACTGAAGCATTTAAAGGTTGTGTAAGTCTTCTGTTCATCATCAATAGCTCCTTCATGTCTTCCATAGTAAAAGTCACTAACTAACATGATCAATTTTCCTTTCTCTGCACCGTTTTTTTTATTTTCAGTAATAGCAAGTTCTGCTTTAATCATTTCCAAAAATTTATTTACCATGTCTGGACAACAACGCTGAAAGAGAAAAAAAAATATATGTAAGGTTTACTTAGGTCTCTTCAAAAAATTAGATACCAAAAAAATGATTCTGTGTTTATAACTAGGGCCAGCTTATGTAAAACTATGCTTGGCAATATATCTGGAGAGACAGTCACCAAAATGTTGGCTTCTTTCTTTATAAAGTCTAAAAAATTCAAACAATCAAAAATTCAAACATCTCTTACCTTAATAATGAAATAACTTCAAAAACAAATTAAAAACCTGAGGCCAGGGATGGCTATATACCTAACACCATTTTCCTTGTAATTTCAATTTTCAGATGTAAATATTTTAATAATTTGATCCTTGGCCTCAAACCATTCACTTCATATGTCAAGATATAGCTTAAAAAGAAAGGTATTTTATTTTATTTATTTTATGTTTCTAAAAGATTTTCATTTATTTTTTTGACACAGAGAGAGAAAGCACAAGCAGGGGGAGCTACAGGCAGAGGGACAGGGAGAAACAGGCTTCCCACTGAGCAAGGAGTCCAATGCACAACCCGATCCCTGGAGCCTAGGATCATGACCTGAGCCAAAAGAAGACACTTAACTGACTAAGCCACTCAGGTGTCCCGGAAAGGTAGTTTTATATGCCATTATGTATACGTTAAATTATCAAATAATACAGTAGTATTTTGGTAAAGCCTGGCTGGAACTTGACTCTGAGCACAGGTAACCTGCCATTCCCCAGACTCAAGGTAGTGGAAAATGTATGGGACACAAAAAGAGAAGTGTTAAGTTATAATTTAAAAACCTCAACACATTCTATCTAGAATGCTGAAATATGTGAAGGGGAAATCAACCTCATGAATAAAATCAAGACCTCATATAAACTGACCCTAATATGGATACTTTCATATATAAACTTTTAATTCTCAATGAGATAAAACTAGTTCATTTATTATATACAATTTTCAGTTGTGGAATTTCACTAGAAGAATTCTTTAAGAATAGCTAGAGAGCAAAAATATAAACTTTTCTTTTTTTAAAAATATTTTATTTATTTATTTGACAGACAGAGATCACAAGGAGGCAGAGAGGCAGGCAGAGAGAGAGAGAGAGGAAGCAGGCTCCCTGCTGAGCAGAGAGCCCAATGCGGGGCTTGATCCCAGTACTCTGGGATCATGACCTGAGCCGAAGGCAGAGGCTTTAACCTCCTGAGCCACCCAGGCGCCCCTAAAAATATAAACTTTTCTAAAAACCCAAACTACATACTCACAAAGCAACCACAAAGTGAAAAACCTAGAAAAATAAAGAACAAAAAATTATGACAGAATCAAGACCAATCAAACCTATCAGATCAATTAAATCTATCCTATCAATGAATACAAATGGGTGGGTTTAACTCAGCTACTGAAAAAAGAAATTTCACACAGGATCACAAAAGAAAAAATGACTCTGTGAAATTAAGAAATATACCCCAAACAGAGTGATTTGGAAGGCTTGAAAATAAAAAGTTAAACAAAGAATATAACAGCAAATGGTAAGAATGAGAAAACAAGGGTTGTGAAACTATGTCAAACAAAACAGAATCCAGGCCAAAAAGGGAACACTTAATAAAAATGCTAAAGGATACATTTACAATGAAGTTAAAAGAGATATATCCATCTATATCCTAAATAGTAATGGCCATAAAACAGAATTGGAAGGTATCAAAGAAAATAGTGGTAATTTGAGACTTTGAGACCTACTCAAAAAATGACAGAACAAACAGATGAACATAAATGAAGACACAGGAACCTCTTAACATAGTAGTATGTTAGATCTGATTGATAACTATCAATTCCATACTCCAAAAAGAAATCAGATCCCTTATTTTCAAGTTTCTATGTAACATTCAAGAAAGCAGCCCATACAATTTTCAAAATGGAGAGAAAAGGACCTGGGCTTTGCCATCAAAGAGACTGAGGTTTCAATTTCAGCTATGCCAATTAATTGGCTATAAAACAATGAGAAAAAGATCCAGCCTAAAGAATTTTCTAAGGATTAAATGAAATAATACCTTAAAGCTTAGTACAGTGTCTTAGATCAATAGAATGTTTAACACTAAAAATTCTTCCTTTGGAAGAAAAGATTATCTTTGTGGTATACCGATCTCCTTACCTATAGTAACAGCAAAAGATCATTCACAAATAAACTAAAATTCACATTTTTTTTCAAAATGGAAATCCTTACTGTACTATTATGTAAATTTAACTGATATATAAAAACGCATAAGTGGAATGCCTGGATGGTTCAGGTGGTTGGGCCTTTGCCTTTGGCTCAGGTCATGATCCCAGGTTCCTGGGACTTAGTCCCACATTGGGCTCCTTCCTCAGCTGGAAGCCTGCTTCTCCCTCTGCGTGTTGCTCTCCTGTTTGTGTGCACACTCTCTTCCTTTCTGACAAATAAATGCAAAACCTTTAAAAACAAAGCATAAGCTAAAATGTACAAGTCTCACTTATTTTTTTAATGACAAACAATGCTACAAGAAATAAAAGCTACATTTTAGAGTATGTTTGCTACTTTTTTCAGGTATAGAAGGTATAATGTGCTATGATTTGTGTATAAAATGGAAATAAGAACACTCATGTGTGCTTATACATTCAGAAATTAAGTCAAAGAGGATATAAAACAAATTAGTAAAAAATGATTTCCTTTGCAAGTCCTACTGGGAACTACGCAAATAGATGAAGTGGAATTCTTCACTGTGTACCTTCTTTTATCTTCTTTTTTAAAGTTTTTACTTTCATTCAAGTTAGTTAACGTACAGTGTTATATTAGTTTCAGGTGTACAATATAGTGATTCAACACTTCCACACAACACCTGGTACTCATCGCAAGTGCAGTCCTTAATCACCTATTTCAGCTATTTCTGCCCCCTTTGGTAACCATTAGTTTGTTCTCTATAAGTCTGCTTCTTGGTTTGTCTCTCTCTTTTTTCCTTTGCTCAAGTTTGTTTCTTAAATTCCACATATAAGTGAAATCACATGGTATTTGTCTTTCTCTGACTGACATTTCTCTTGGCATACTCTCTAGCTCCATCCAAGTCACTGTAAATGGCAAGATTTCACTTTCTATGGCTGATTCATATTCCATTGTGTATATATTCCACATCTTTATTCATTCATCAATGAATACCTGGGCTGCTTCCATATCTTGGCTATTGTAAATAATGCTGCTATGAATATGGGGGTGCAAGGTATCTCTCTGAATTAGTGTTTCTGTATTCTTTGGGTAAATACCCAATAGTGCAATTCTGGTGGTAGGGTAGTTCTATTTTTAACTTTTTGAGGAACCTCCATTCTGTTTCCTGCATCAGTTCACATTCCCACCAACACTGCATGAGGGTTCCTTTTTCTACACATCCTTGCCAACACCTTTTGTTTCTTGTGCTGTTGATTTTAGCCATTCTGACACGTGTTAGGTGATATTTTATTGTAGTTTTAATTTTCATTTCCTTTATGGTAAAGAATGATGAACACCCACCTTCTTATACTTTTTGAATCACATGACTTCATTACCCTTCAAATTAAATAAACTAAAGGTAACTAAACTACTCAGCCTTTTCTCTTTCCATCTATGATGCAAAACATGATGGACACTGGGGAGGGTATGTGCTATGGTGAGTGCTGTGAATTGTGTAAAACTGATGAATTACAGACCTGTACCCCTGAAACAAATAATAACATTATATGTTAATTTTAAAAGGTGAATTATCATATGGTTTCACTTACTAGTGGAGCATAAGGAATAACATGGAGGACATTAGGAGAAGGAAAGGAAAAGTGAATTGGGGGAAATCGGAGGGGTAGACGAAGCTTGAGAGACTGTGGACTCTGAGAAACAAACAGGGTTTTGGAGGGGAGGGGGCTGGGGAGATGGGTGAGCCTAGTGGTGGGTATTTTTTTTTCTTTTTTTTTTTTTTTAAGATTTTTATTTATTTATTTGACAGAGATCACAAGTAGGCAGAGAGGCAGGCAGAGAGAGAGGAAGGAAAGGAGGCTCCCTGCTGAACAGAGAGCCCCATGTGGGGCTGGATCCCAGGACCCTGGGATCATGACCTGAGCTGAAGGCAGAGGCTTTAACCCACTGAGCCACCCAGGTGCCCCCTAGTGGTGGGTATTAAGGACACATACTGCATGGAGCACTTGGTGTGGTGTATAAACAATGACTCTTGGAACACTGAAAAAATAACATAAGTTTTTTAAAAAATAATAAAACAGATAACTCTATTTTTTATATTTATAAATAGAATACTGTAGTGAGTATATTAATGAAGGATCACTGCTACACTATTTTTTATAAATATAAAAAATTATAAAAATTTTTTATAAATATAAAAAATACTGTAGTAAGTATATTAATGAAGGAACACTGTTACTTGCAACAGAATGGATAAATTTCAAAGGCATGATGTTGAAGAAACAAGAAAAAGTGGACATATTTAAAGCTAAAGACTAGGCAAAACTAGAAGTCATAATCAAGGACAATTTGGGGAAGTGACTCTTTCTTGTACACTCGAGTGTTCTATTTCTGGAGCTGTAGTCTTGTAATGGAAGTGTTCACTTTGTAAACAGTGATTATTTTACTGGTGACTTGTTCAATTTTCTGTACCCTTCAACAATTTAAAAGTGGTGTCTGATTCTCGACCTTCATTAATAAAGAGTTAAATCTGTTAATGAAAAATCATATATGTTTATAACATATAAAATATATTATATATTAATATATATTATATTATTATATATTATACATATTATAACATAAAAAATTTAAAAAGATAAAAAACATCAAGTATCTGTATATAATATCACAAAGATATGAAGATTGAAAACACTGGCAAAAGTTAATTTTTATATAAAACCAAAACCCAAAGTCCACTTCCCACACTCAGGGAAGTAGAAAAGGTGATAGATCAAACACAGTTTTGCCCAAGAATAAAGAAATTGTGTTTGGAATTTTACAATTCTTTTCTTTCTACATTTTTTGTAAAATGCTGAATTTCAATGAAAAATCTGCCAATCTTTGAAAGAGCAAGCAATTAACTTTTCCTAAGTTGCTTCTTTGCTTTGCAGTCTTCTCATCCCCTCTTTCTTGAATATAATCTGCACTGCCTTTTTTCTTGCCTCCTTTCTCCCTTCTTGCCATTTATATTTGGGCATGCAAGAAGAATACAGATTATCTTTCCACAGACAAACAGAACACTGCAATATCTACCAAAATATTTTAAGTGGAATAATACTTAGACCTCATACTTCATTAGTACTTCAAAAATTACCCAAAACCGAATTTCAAGAGCTTCCTATGCCAACATAAAGCTAGAATTTATAACAACTATACAAACTACATTCTGGATTGAGTTAACACTATCATTTCTTGTGAAATGCTCTACCATTATGAGTTTATGTCCAAGTGCTGAACATTAAAATGCAAGACTGAGATTTTGAGTAATGTGACATGCATATGTCACCAGACAAAAAATCATGTTAAAAAAGGAATTTTTAAGTTACAGGAAAGAATAAGCACCAAACAAAATGCCTGCTTTATAAGAGGTTTGAAGAATGGCATTACCTAGTCAATAAAATATCCTGAAAAATATATTATTTTCATTAAAAGTTAAAAGAGACTATGGACTCTGAAAAACAATCTGAGGGTTTTGAAGGGGTGGGGGATGGGAGGTTGTGGGAACTAGGTGGTGGGTATTAGAGAGGGCACAGATTGCATGGAGCACTGGGTGTGGTGCAAAAAACAATGAATACTGTTACGCTGAAAAGAAAAAAAATTTAAAAAAATAAATAAATTTTAAAAAATACAATATGCACAGATTCTTTTTTTTTTTTAAAGTAGGTTCCATATCCAGTGTGGAGCCCAATGCAGGGCTTGAACTCACCACGGTGAGATCAGATCAAGACCCGAGTGGAGATCAAGTTAGATACTTGACTGACCCACCCAGGTGCTGTACAATACGCATAGAGATTCAAGTGCCACGGGTGAGTGCCAGCGGCCTGGGGACCCTATAGGACAAAGGCTGCAGCCCCTGCACAACCTGGTGGCTGTGATGCACGGGACTCACTTATCTGGGAATCGTTTGGGATTGAATAGAGCAATGTAATTACTGGCTGCCCCAGAGAGGGAGAGGATTCCCCTACCCCTGAACCGTTTCTGCTGGTTGGGGCAAATGATTTTACAAATGAGATTTGCCATTGACATCTGCTCTACAAGTGGCAAAATGTCAGAAATGAAGAGAAAGAAATGTTAAGATTCAAGAAAGAAATGATTTATCTGGGAAAACTCCAACACCCACAAATACTCTTAGGGCTGTTACTAAGAGAAACACCAGACTTTCTACAAAGTCTTCTAGATATAATACTTTAAAGAGCTTGGAGGTAGGTCTATTTATTCCATTTCTTAAAGTACAACATATTGTGTTTAATGTATTCTCTCAAGCCTCAGAAATCAATTCAACGACAGTCACTTCTCTTAGACAAAGCAACAACTAAAGCTTTGATCTAGCATCCTTAGCTGTAAAGCAACTCCCACACATTGTCACTTTCACCTTACTTCAGCATCCAGCTCCAGAAAACAGATACTTTTACCAGTAATTTTATGGTTGATAAAGCCACTATCACATCTAATAAAATTATCAAAGATTACTTGGTGTTCTCTAATACCCCCCCCAAAATACAATATGCATATACTATAGTACATATAAGCCTATTTTTTTAAGATTTCATGATTGGGAAAGATTTTAAAATCTTGTATAAAGATAATCATCATGAATATAAATTTTTGCTTAGGTTATATAGAAATACCAATGAGAAGATTTCTTATCTAAATACCTGGACAAACTGGCATTTACTGCATATCAATCCTTAATGTTTTCAGAGAGTTGTCAATATTTTTAAAAATCAAAATTTTTTTTAAACTTTTTAAAAAAGATTTTATTTTTTGTCTGAGAGAGAGGAAGAGAGAGAGAGAGAGAGAGAAAGCGCACAAACAGTGGGAGCAGCAGGAAGAAAGAGAAACAGGCTCCTTGCTGAGCAAGGAGCCAGATGTGGGACTTGATCCCAGGACCCTGGGATCATGACCTGAGCTGAAGGCAGATGCTTAACTGACTTAGCCACTCAGAGTCCCTAAAAGACAAATTTTTTTTTTTTAAAGATTTAATTTATTTATTTGACAGACAGAGATCACAAGTAGGCAGAGAGGCAGGCAGAGAGAGAGGAAGGGAAGCAGGTTCCCTGCTGAGCAGAGAGCCCGATGCGGGGCTCGATCCCAGGACCCTGGGATCATGACCTGAGCCGAAAGCAGAGGCTTTAACCCACTGAGCCACCCAGGCACCCCCCTAAAAGACAAATTTTGAAAAAGTTTTACCTTCATGTGATATTTCAAAGGATCCAGAAGATTAAACTTTACATTGCACTTTGGACAGGATCTTAAAAAAGGTGTTCCAGTTTTATAGTGAGCAGATGATGTATTTGTACCTAAAATAGATTAAAAATTTTCAGGACTCAAATTCTTTTTTAAACATTAAACAACCAGTAATAGACGTTTAAAAATTCAACACAATTTCTAAAATTTATGTATAAATAATATAATTTCTATTTTATATGCCAGATTTATATTTACCTTTTGATATCATAACATGGGAAGATGTCACTGGAGGAGAGTTACTTAGAGACAATGAAGCACAAGGACTTATATCAGAAACACTTTCACTGGTCTTTGGCTTTTTTGGAGTAACACTGTTTACTTTAGAAGCAGAAGAACGTTTTAATATAGGCAGAGTTTCATCTATACCTAAAATAATAGTGGGAAAAATATTTGTAAATACTTTAGTATAGAACACTGCCTACAAATGCTACTAAAATGGCTTTATATTTGAATTTAAGTAAAAACACCTTGAAGCTAAATTAAAGATAATATAATTGAATTATATCATATAAATGACAAAGAATGATCAAAATCTGTATGATCACAAAAGAAAAATTTATATAGTCAGACTATAATTTTTTTCTATTTTGGTTTGGTAAATGTATATAAATTTGTTAGTAAACAATTTAAACATTAAAAAGCCTTATGTACCTCTGTCCAATTATTGAAATATAACAAATTTACTCATATACAAACAGCAATTGCTTTGGTTATGGGTATTATGATTTGATTATGGGATTAATAGGTAGAAAAACTGTACAAACAGCTATTATGAACTACATATATTTGAACAACTCACGGAATAAACTTTTTATACAAGAAAATTCTAAAAATACTTTGAAATAATATATAAATAGGTATAAAAGAAGTCAGACCAAAAGAATCTGAAGCAAAAGAAGAAAAAAAAAATGAAAACACAGAATGTTCCAAGCTCAGTTCCCACAAATGAATTTACCTTTAGATGCTTAAATACATTTAGGCTTGGAAACAAAACAACCTTTGTTCTAAAAATTCAGAGAAACCCTTTAAGATACTTAAAAAACTAAGATGTCTAATGGAAAACTCTGAGTTGGTTCTTTTTCCATTTACTAACAATCTGATGGGTTTAAATTATCCATTTATTTCCTATGAACCAAGTACAAACAACTAATCTTGAATAATACCTTGCTCGTTCATATGAAAAGTCTTAAGTTAGTATAATGGTATTCAAACTATATTCCCCTGAGGCTAATGGTTTTGCCTTAGGGAATTTACTAAGCATGTCAGATAGAAAAGCTCTCCTTTTACCTTTTTTAAAAAATTAGATTTTTACGTAAAATTTTGTTTGAAGAGATTTCATTACTAAAGATAGTTCTGAGTTTGAAAACCATCACCTTAAAGGCTAAGGTATCATGTAATTCAGGGCATCTGCAAAACAAGTGGGGCTATTTAGGCTAAAACCAGACACAGCACAAGTCCTTTCGAAAATAACATAAAATTGTACTTTGTGATAAAGATTCCAAAACTGCACATCATATTTCAATGCTCCCAACTGTACATTAATAGGAAAAGCCGTAGAATAGAGAAATACATAGAAAAGGAGAGCACTGCATTGGTGGACTCCTCTATCAAATTTGTGGGTCATTCTTTTGAGTTAACAGAAATGATTTTTTTCCATCTTCTAGCACATGGTTACTGACAGCTATACTACAGGCACTTGGGACTGTGATCTGTATCATCACTAACATTTTTCTCAGATGCTTAGGTTACTTAAACAACCAGTAAGTGCTGGTATTTTGGCAACTAGTTCTCTAGCAGGCTGTATCATAAAATAGACTGTTTTGTATATAATTCTTTTAAGTATGAGTAAATCTCCAAGTTAAATGAAATCACTCTAAGCTCAATAGTTTTAAATTCTAATCCTTTAACTTGTTTATTTCTATTGCCTCTGGCTTGTGCTGTTCACTATCTTCAACAGTGCCAATAAAAATCCTATTCTCATTCCTCAAAATCAAGTTCCAATCCAAACTTCTCCAAGAACCTTCTGTCATCATCTTTGACAGGAGTCTATTAATCATGCTTCTGAACACATAATACATATTATCATTCATAATTATCATTCTAAGAACTGTTTATTGTCAAGTCCTTTAAAGGTTTAAGGCATTTTTCATTTCTCACTTATCTCCTTTGAGCCTCAAAAAAGGCCTGAGGTAAGTAGAGCAAGAATTAAAATTGTATCTCCAAATGGTGACTTCAGGTCTGGAGAATGAATGTATTATCTGAGAAAGATAAAAGTCTGTATTTCAATAAAATGAGAAAATTGAAGTGTAAAGAGTGACTCGATAAAGGCCACAAAAATCTTTAGGATACAGGCTCAAACCCACACCTTCCTAATTGACTACAACGCTATTTCCCATCAAGGCAAAGTTCTACTTCCTGCAATACAACTTACAGAGAGAGGAGGCATCACTGTCTTTACCCCCTAGAATCTTTAAGAATTCAGAGTTTTTCTCTGAATAAAGACCCATGTACATTATAAAATCAGATTTCAGACAACTATTTTACCTCATTTATTCGGGCTCTTGGTTATTTTACTAATTAGATAAATGACAATTAGGTGATTAACAGACCACATGTTATCAAAATGGGAAAATATTTTTGGCAAACATATTACTATAATTTTTTTCTATTTTGGTTTGGTAAATGTATATAAATTTGTTAGTAAACAATTTAAACATTAAAAAGCCTTATGTACCTCTGTCCAATTATTGAAATATAACAAATTTACTCATATACAAACAGCAATTGCTTTGATTATGGGGAATTTCTCAACTAAATAAAATTCTTTCATGATATACTAATTTATTTCGAGTTAATGAAGAACTTTGTTATTGTATACAAAGAATTGTAGTTCTTCAATTGAAAACTCACATTATTCCTTCAATGGGTATTTACTAAGTACTTACTGTGCACAAATCACCATTTTTGTAATACTCCCACTCTTTTTTAAAATTCCCTCTTTTTATAATAATACTCTATAATCATATTTAACTATCCATATCGACATCATTTATTTGGAAAGAAAGACACCAGCCTATTAAAAAAAATCAACTATAACCATGTACTTTTTCTCATACTAATGGCCTTCTAAATGATTAATACTTTTTTTTTATATGATAGTATTAGGTCATTAGGAGACTTCCTGGACTCACAGAAATTATATTAAGATTTTTCAGCCCATGGCTGGTTCCAAGTGAGAATGAGCTAAAAAAATACATGTTAGCTAACTTAATAGAAAGAAATACAATATTCTATTATTAAATACAAATTTATAAAAAAGAAATCACACAAGAAATGCATTCAGGGAGTGTTAGCTTCTATTTTATGGTATATAAAAGACTTAATATGAAGGTATGGGTTTCAAAACATAAATTCATTCCACATCTATATTCATCAAGTTTCTTTTTAGTATATTCAAAAAAAGTGCTAAGCCAAACCTTCGATATAAATTGTTGATCCCTCTTGGGACAGTGGAATCGTATCCTGGGTCAAGTCAAATAGTAACTCTGAAGAATCATCCGATTCAACTTGTGATGAATTCTTTGTAAAATCCTGTAAAAAGTTATAATTACTTTGTTTCATAAGCTTGTAGAAAAGTAAATTAAATGTATGACAATACTATAAACACCTTAATAATTCAATTACTAATAAGCTATAAAACACTAAGATAATTATTATTCTGTTTAAGTTAGCATTTAGTGGGTAAGGGTTATATGGGAACTCTCTGGATTACTTCTGCAATTTTTCTATAAATCTGAAATTAGTTTGAAATTAAAAATTAATATTACAAAATAATGACAATATTATTGGCAAAGTAGACATGTTTTGGTACAACTTTTCCGCAAGAAAATTTTGGCAATATCTATCAAGGGCTTTAAAAAGTTCATATCCTTTGACCCAAATATTCCACTTACATGAATTTATACTAAGGAAGTGAAAATATTTAATGAGCATTATTTATAACAAAAAACAACAACCTGTATGTCCAACAATGGAGGAATGGTTAAATAAATGATAGGCTATAATGCAACATCATGCTTTTGAAAACTAACCAAAAACAAAGAAAAATGTTTCCAATATGAAGTTCAGTGAAAAAAGAGGAGCTCATATCTGTGTACAAAATGTAATTCTGATTGATATATTCTTATATACCACACTAACCACCTGTAAAAAACAAAATCAAAGTACAGTATGTATTGTCTTCTGTTTCCTTTCTAACTACCACCCCTATACACAGTACCTTTATAATAGGAATATAAGAGTCTTGCTTGCATGTTTTGTGCTTACAAGTTGAAAAAAATCAGGTTTTAAGAATTTTACTTTGTTATTAAGTTTTCTGTTTACTTGAGCTTAGTAAGAAGTTATGGAGGCAGATATTTAACTGAACCAAACCATTCCACTCCTAGAATTTGAGCACTACAGGCAGATTTCTGCATTCGAGCCTTAACATGTATTATATAAAATGGCTATGACTCAATGATGACTTTATGACTTAACTGTAACCAAGCATAATCTTCTTCAAGGTAAGTATTTTCTCCAAATATTTGCACTTACAAATGAAAAAATTCACTAGCAAGTCTCCAAATAGTTCTTTCACAGAAGTTCCTCCAAATAAAGTTAATATTTATTTTTTTCTAAAGATTTTATTTACTTGAGAGAGAATGAGAGAGAGAGAGAGAATGGGAGGAGGGAGGGTCAGAAGGAGAAGCAGACTCCCTGCTGAGCAGGGAGACGATGAAGGACTCCATCCTGAGACTCCAGGATCATGACCGAGCCGAAGGCAGTTGCTTAACCAACTGAACCACCCAGGCACCCCTAAAATTAATACTTTAAACCTTTTCCAAGGTAACTCTGGCCAATTAAGTACCATCATTTCATAGAGCAGACATATTAGTCAACAAATAAGTTATTAAAATAATTTTCCAATTGGGAATTTTTTATATCATAAAATAGTTCAGAAAGATACCAAATACAACAGTGAGGTACGAGAGGCAATAGAATGGGATTTATTTATTTAACTTTGGAACCTTGGGCCAGTCACTTCTGAGATTCAAGTTTTCGCCTTTCCAACCGAAATAATAACTGCCAATTATTGTCTATTTAAAATGTAGTTGACTCTTTTAGTCCATGTATCATATCAGGTAGTTATCACAACAGTACTAATAGGCCTAATACTATCTCCCACCTTATAAATAGGTAAACTAAAGTTCAGTTTAGTTAAGTAAGGTTCCCAATACAACCCAGCTTGTTATGAAGCTGGAATTAGAACCGAGGTTGCCGTGATTATAAATCCTGTGCCCTTGGGGCACCTGGGTGGTGCCATCAGTTAAGCATCCACTCATCTTTTTTTTTCCTAAGTAGGCTCCATACTGGGTAGGGAGATCATGACCAGAGCCAAAACCAAGAGCCGGAAGCTTAACTGACTGAGTCACTCAGGCAACCCAGGTGTCCACCTGACTCTTGATCTCAGCTTAGATCTTGATCTCAGGGTCCTGAGTTTAAGTCCTGTGGGTATGGAGCCTACTTAAAAACAAAACAAAACAAAACAAAAAACCCTGTGCCCTTAAGCTATAACACACTGACATAAAAAGGAATAATAATTATCTTCTAGACTGCCCCAAAGAGTCGTGGTAAAGAGAAGAAAAGGGAATTTTCTCTGAAAAATGTAAGTGTTATGTAGGATTCTCAATTTATTTGAAAATATAGATCCATCATCCTCCACCCTGGCTCACATGAGAATCACCTAGAGAGTTAAAAAAAAAAAAAAACTATCATACCCAGGCCTCAACCCAGATCAAATGACAAAAACTGTTTTTTAAAGCTTCCTAGGTTTGGGAAACTGATTGAGGAGCTTTGATTAAACAATCATGCCCAGAAAAACAAAACATTCTGAGTTTGAATGAGCTCTAGTTCCTAAATTTTTTAATATGAAAGGTACCACTCCCTCCATTGTTCTCCTTCCCTAGTTCCAAGGTAGGAATAATTTTCATCTATCTCTATGTAAATAATTATGTTCCCCCTTTTTTATGTTTTTCTTTTTTTTTAAAAGATTTTATTTATTTATTTGACAGACAGAGATCACAAGTAGGCAGAGAGGCAGGCAGAGTGAGAGAGAGAGAGGAGGAAGCAGGCTCCCCGCAGAGCAGAGAGCCCGATGCAATGTGGGGCTTGATCCCAGGACCCTGGGATCATGACCTGAGCTGAAGGCAGAGGCTTTAACCCACTGAGCCACCTAGGCGCCCCTGTTTTTGCTTTTCTTTTTTTTTTTTAAACATTTTATTTATTTATTTGACAGACAGAGATCACAAGTAGGCAGAGAGGCAGGCAGAGAGAGAGAGGAGGAAGCAGGCTCCCGCAGAGCAGAGAGCCCAATGTGGAGCTCGATCCCAGAACCCTGGGATCATGACCTGAGCTGAAGGCAGAGGCTTTAACCCACTGAGCCACCCAGGCACCCCTGTTTTTGCTTTTCTTAAATGCCAAACAGCTTATGATAGCATGAGAAACCAATGAATCAGTCTGATTCCAGTTAGAATAAAATAATTTTAGTATTTCTGGCAGCCTGCCATTATCAGGTACACCTATTAAGTTTTTATTAAAAACAGTCCATGGTTGCTTAGAGGATCCGAATTTGAGAGCCAGTGGTTTGGATAAAGATTCTCATTTTAAAAATGCAGGAAGTGAGGCCCACTGAGGATTTATAACAATGCTTTAGCTAGGAATAGACGGAATCAACACTCAATTCTTTCATCTTCAATCTAGATTTCTTGGACTACTACTGCAGGACTCAAATTACTATTAATTCTTTCAGAATGTAGATACAAGTTTTCCAAATATCTAATTTTTAAAAGAGTTTTTATTTTATTTTTTAAAAGATTTTATCCATTTGACAGAGAGAGAGACACAGCACAAGCAGGCAGAGCAGCAGGCAGAGCAGCAGGCAGAGGGAGAGAGAGAAGCAGGCTCCCACAGAGCAGGGAGCTTGATGCGGGGCTTGATCCCAGAATGCTGGGATCATGACCTTAGCTGAAAGCAGAAGCTCAACCGACTGAGCCATACAGGTGCCCCTATAATTTATAAAAAGGTTGTATTTAAAGCCCCAATGTGGGGCTCAAATGCACGACTCTGAGATGAAAAGTCACATGCTTCTCCAAATGAGCCAGCCAGGTACCCCACAAAAATCTAATTTTTGCTTGAAAGCTCAAATCTTATCATTGGGAAGAATACAATCATTTTTTTAAAAAAAGATTTTATTTATTTATTTGACAGACAGAGATCACAAGTAGGCAGAGAGGCAGGCAGAGAGAGGGGGAAGCAGGCTCCCTGCTGAGCAGAGAGCCTGACATGGGGCTTGACCCCAGGACCCTGGGACCACGATCTGAGCCGAAGGCAGAGGCTTTAACCCACTGAGCCACCCAGGTGCCCCCATTTTTTTTTTCTATGACAGACATGCTTTGTACATTTTTAAGCACGAAAAACTGCATGGTAGATTCTAAAGGTGGCCCCCATGACTCCCTCCCGATATTTACACCTTTGTGTAATCTGTCCTTGGGTGTGGGTGGAACCTGTGATTGCTTTTGACCAACAGAATATGGCAAATGGGACAGAATGTACATGATTATGTTATATAGCCCATTTTGCTGAGGATTCACTTTCCCTTGCTGGCTTTGAAGCTGCAATCAGTCATGTTAGGAAGGCTTATGTGGCAAAGAACTAAGGGCATTCTCTGGCTGACAGCAGCAAGAAACTCATGCCCTCAGTCGGACAACCCATAGAGAACTGGGTATTGCCAATGACCATGATATAGCAGCTCTGGCTGACACCTTGATTGCAGCCTTGTAAGATCTTGAAGCAGAGGACCCAGTAAAGCCATGACCTGACTCCTAACAGGAACCACGAGATAAGGGTATATTGCTTCAAGCTGCTAAGTTTTTGATACTATTGTTATGTAGCAATAATTTTTTGAAAATATTTTATTTATTTACTTGAAAGAGAGAGAGAGAGCGCGAGAGAGAACAGCAGGAGCTGGAAGGAGAGGGAGAAGCAGGCTCCCAGCTGAGCAAGGAGCCCAATGCGGGACTCGATCCTGGGACCCTGGGATCATGACCTGAGCAGAAGGCAGATGCTAAACTGACTGAGCCACTCAGGTGCCCCGATTGTTTAGCAATAATTAACACATGGTGCTCTGTCGACCATCCATTCAAGCAAAAATGGCATTCTATTAAAAAAAGCAGCTAGTTCAGTTTGCAATTCAAGTAGTTTTCCTCAAGAAAACCTTCATACTATACATACAGAAATCTTTTATGCATATTATCCACTTCATCACATAGAGTATTTAAAAAAAAGTGTATTTGCCAAGGATTGAGAGTTAATAAAATTAGTAACAATTTATTACTTTTTCAAGGTTATTCTCAAGTGAAAGTGAAATTTTTCTACTGTGAGTGCTTGATGGTCACTAATACAAAAACTACTAGTACCGTCTGGTGACACTGCCTTCATTCATATTAAGGGACCAGCAGTTTTACCCTCTACTGCTTTTGCATCATCAGTGCAAATGCTGACAGAGTGAAGAGAGGAAACGTATCAGTTTATCACAAGTTTTAACTTCACGAATCCCTTAAAGGGTCTCAGGGAACCCCAATGATCTATAACTATAACGTTGCTCTAAGGCAGTGTTTCTATGTACAGCAATGCTTAAATTAAATTATGAACAGATACATGTATGCATATTTAAAAACCTCTGGGCTGGGGCACCTGGGTGGCTCAGTTGGTTAAGCATCTGACTTTGGCCCAGGTCATAATCTCAGGTCTTTGGATCGAGCCCTGCATCATCTGCTTTTCTCTCTCCTTTGCCCCTCCCCCTGATTATGTCCTGTCTCTCTCAAAAAAAATAAATAAAAACTTAAAAAAATAAAATAAAACTTCCAGGCTAACCTGGACTGAAATACCAGATCCAACTTTTATTTACCAGTTATATGGCCTTGAGTGAATTATTTAGCCTGAGTCTCAGTTTCCTTAACTATAACATGGGGATAATAACTGTGCCTACCTCATAGAGAAATAATACGAATGAAATGATATTAATTTACATACAACATTTAGAATAAAGACTTACCCACAATAATAGAATAACAAATGTTAAATATTATCATTAACTATTACTGCTGTTAAAAGTTTTAAAGCTGGGACGCCTGGGTGGTTCAGTGGGTTAAAGCCTCTTTGCCTTAGGCTCAGGTCATGATACCAGGGTCCTGGGATCGAGCCCTGCATCAGGCTCTCTGCTCAGCAGGGAGCCTGCTTCCCTTCCTCTCTCTCTCTGCCTGCCTCTGCCTACTTGTGATCCCTGTCTGTCAAATAAATAAAATCTTTAAAAAAAAAGTTTTAAAAGCTAAGCCATGAAACTATGTTTTCAGAGTAAACAGCAACAATGACCTCAAAACAATCTTCCCCAATAAGAATACCTGGTTCTGTTTACTCTCTTAAGAATTTTGCCATTATGCAACATTCATTACTGATAATGTTTTTACTCACCTTTAGACAGTCTAGTTTTCAATATTATACCTATTTAAGCATATAACCTGATACACTGAAAAGTTGGTTAGTTCCTACAGTTATTACTTTGGGTTTGGGTTGAGCTGTCATAAAGATAGTGACATTTTCAGACTGTGATTGTGATCGTGCTTCTAACGGAATGCTGACTAGTCCACAATTCTAACTGGGTGTTGTAATATCCAATGCATCCCTGAGCTAATTGTGTAGTTTCAGAAACACTTACAGGTTTAGACACGTTCTGAACAATAACAGAGTTCTGTGAAGACTTAGATTCAGGATGAAATCTAGGCAAGGCAGCCACTGGATTTGATGTTGGATCTTTATAGTGTTGACTTGTAGGCTTGAATGGATCAGTAACACCTGCATTTTAAAATTACACAACATATTGAGTATTTTTCTATACAACCAATTTTGTTAAAATGTTTCACTTTAAAATTAAAATGGTATAATACTATACCTTGAGTGACTGTCTCATTCTTTATTCCCTTTGAAGATGAGCTGGGGTTACCTCTGTTCAAAATATCTATAAAAATATGTTTATTTTAAAACTCATTATTTTAATTAAGTGTAAATTAAAATAATAAAAAACTTTCCAAAAATATATCCACATACAACTAATAATTTAAGTATATTTCTTTCTCTTAATGGTGACCCCAGATCAAACCCTTCCCTAATTCCCATGCTACATTCATACCCCTAAAAGTCTGGAAGTTTCATTATGGATAAGCTGGTCACATTATCTGTACCACTCCTCTAGAGTTCTGAGAGGAACACTATTGAAGACTGCAGACTAAATTTAATCTAGAGTTTACCAGAGTATCTCAAATCTACTACTATACCAAAAGTCAATCTGAGCCTGACATGACCCTATGAATCAGTGCTCACTCCTATAGCCATGTCAACCCATAACTTCTGGGTTATTGAGGAATCAAATAAAAATTTGGAAGAGTAGAGATTCGCCTAAAATTGCTAATCAGGAAAAGGTACAAACATTTAAAAAATCCCATAAAACCTCAAAAAAATTTCCTTTAACCCCTCCTGATAGAAAAGAAACAGATCTCATAGAATAATTCTATAAAGTAAAGGGTCACACAAAAGTAGGGTTGTTTTATGATAATGGAAATTCAATTCTCTAAGACGAGGCACTACAGAAGTTTTCTAGGAGAAAAATCTGCTCAAACAACTTGATATTGTTTTCATTCAGAGTTTACAGTATTTACTCAAGCCATTAAAGAGTTAAACCTATAGTACTTTTTGGTGACTGTAGTCACTACACTGTAGACTGTTGGTGACTGTAGTCACAACACTACAAGCTGAAATATTTAGCTCATGTTCCATATGACAAAAGAATTTTATGGCTCACACATAAAACAGCAATAAAATCACATAGATTTTGAGTTCATTTAGAAAAGAAATTTCACTGGGGTCAACTTTCTTTTTATAGAATCACTTAAAACTAATACACATTATTCCAGTTGAGTACTGTTAGCCATTATCTGCAGTTGACATAAACCCAACTTGAATTGCCATGCTTTCAATAAGATGATCTGAATAATAATTTTCAAATATCACAATATTTTGGGATAAAAATAATCACAGTAAATAAGAAACAATAATTATAATATTCTATTCCACTATCAGCAACAAACATGCCAACATATTTACCTCATTTTATAACTTAAGTGACATTCCACTTAGCACCTCTCAGTTTGCCACAGGAAATGATATTGAGAATTAAATTATTCTAGCTCTGATAAAACTGAACAGAAGTGCTATCTGAAGTTTAGAGTTAAGAGATGCAAGAACAGGGCTTTCAAGAAATTAAAAACTCATCTCTTAACCACAATATGATGCACTGCCATGGTAGGTAAGAAAACACTGGTATGCTAGGTACATTCTTTGCTAAATTCTCCTGGCTTAAAAGAAGTAAATATAATGAAAAGGAATCTATCTCCTCTTTCTCTGCTGAAATTCAGTATGTTGTTCCTTTGCAGAAGAATCTAACAATCTACACAATTACTGGACATGTTCTGCTAGAAAGGTAGTACAGTGTAAAACACTACAAGTAGTGTAAGACACTACATTTACATTAAGTGTAAAATGTGCACTTTGCACATTTTTATTAGACATTTTTTAAAATATTTTATTTATTTATTTGTCAGAGAGAGAGAGGGAGAGAGAGCGAGCACAGGCAGACAGAATGGCAGGCAGAGGTAGAGGGAGAAGCAGGCTCCCCGCCAAGCAAGGAGCCCGATGTGGGACTCGATCCCAGGACCTGAGCCGAAGGCAGCTGCTTAACCAACTGAGCTACCCAGGCATCCCTTTATTAGACATTTTAACAAGTGTCATCAATATCATCAATATTATCACAATGGCAATTCTAACTCTAACTGAAATCTAACAATCTACAAAATTACTGGACATGTTCTGCCTGAAAGCCATGAGGATTTAGTGTGCTAACTGCCTGCGTTGTACAAGTACAGTGGCTAAAGACCAGACCCTCCTTGCTTCGTGAATATAATCAGGAGTCGTTGGAAGATGGGTGTGGCCAGAAACTATACCCCATGTTGGTACATATACTAGAGACTGTATAATCATGCAGTGCCTGTTCATTTTGTAGCCACGATTCAAGGTGACACTGTGATGAGGCAGTTGCCTGGATGTGAGAACCCCCATCAGAGACTAACACAAGCCAATTTACTGTTCTAGTATTTTAAGCAAAGCATTCCAAACATTTCCTTTTCTAGGTGTGTTTGGGCTTAAGGAAGAAAAACAAAAATTAACAAACAGGTGAATAGGCTACTTAGCTCTCCTAAAACTTAAGATTTCCAATTTCAGAAGGCCTATAATGCTGATATGGTAATCTTAACCTTTAGTTAACTTAGTTAACATTTCCCTTTTCTCTCAAATGATATTTTAACCTCTCACTTTACTCAAGTCCCCAACCACATCCTCCCTGCGATTCTCACAAATTCTTACTGACCTATATGCTCCAACTCCTTGCAGAATAACAAGGACATATAAGACGGCTCACAGGTTTTTCTATTAGAAACAGCAACTTACAAAACTTTACTTGGCTAAAATAAATGCTTACTTGAAATGGCTGGTTTTGAACTTGATATCTCTCCAACAAAAATCAGCTCATCATCATCATCATCTTCATCCAGAATTTCTTCTACTTTTTTCTGCCATGGTTCCAGCTCTTCTTCTTCACATTCCATAAAGAGTTCTGCCATTTTTGAGTTATCTAATTTCCGAAAGAAGAGAAACCCACCTTATTTTTTTTTAATTATTTTTAAAGATTTTATTTATTTATTTGACAGAGAGAGATCACAAGTAGGCAGAGAGACAGGCAGAGAGAGAGAGAAGAGGAAGCAGGCTCCCCCCCGATACGGGGCTCGATCCCAGGACCCTGGAATCATGACCTGAGCTGAAGGCAGAGGCTTTAACCCACTGAGCCACCCAGGCGCCCCTCCACCTTATTTTTTTAAAATAACTTTTTTGCAATGCATAGTATGATATTTAAGATATACTTTAATAATCTTAATTTTAATTACTGAATTGATATTTGCAATCAGCACATGGTAGCAAAAGTAAGAAACTCAACTCAATCTCTAAGATCTAAACTAGTACAATTAAGCTAGCTGGCTAAGTAAGAGACAACAGTAGTTATTAGTAGTTGCCAATAAATTTTAAGAATAACCAAATCCAATAAAAATTTGAAACATAAAAAAAGAATAATCAAGCCAAGGAAAGAATACTCAATGGGAAAAAGACAGTCTCCTCAACAAATGGTGTTGGGAAAACTGGACAGCAATATGCAAAAGAATGAAACTGGACCACTTTCTTTTTTTAAAAAGATTGTATTTATTTATTTGACAGAGACAAAGAGAGAGAGCACAGACAGGGAGAATAAGAGGAGAAGCAGGCTCCCTGCTGAGCATGGAGCCAATACAGGGTTCGATCCCAGGTCCCTGGGATAACAACCTGAGCTGAAAGCAGCTGCTTAACTGACTGAGCCACCCAGGCACCCCAGAACCTGCACCACTTTCTTACACCACACACCATTCAAAATGGATGAAAGATGTGAGACAGGAGGCCATTAAAATTCTAGAGGAGAGCACAGTAATATCTTTGACATCAGCTGTAGCAATTTCTTACTAGATATATCTCCTGAGGCAAGGGAAACAAAAGCAAAAATAAAATACTGGGATGTCATCAAATTAAAAGCTTCTACAGGGTAAAGGAAACAACAAAACTAAAAGGCAACTATAGAATGGGAGAAGATATTTGCAAATGAAATATTAATAAAGGGTTAGTATGCAAAATCTATAAAAAACCAGTAAGACCCAAAAAACGATCCAATTAAAAAATGGACAAAAGATATGAATAGATGGGTGCCTGGGTGGCTCAGTCAGTTAAGTGTCTGCCTTCGGCGCAGGTAATGTTCCCAGGGTCCTGGAATTGAGCTCTACATTGGGCTCTCTCCTCAGCAGGGAGCCTGCTTCTCCCTCTTCCTCTGCCTGCTGCTTTGCCTACTTGTGTTCCCTATCAAATAAATAAAATCTTTAAAAAAGACATAGATATTTTTCCAAAGAAGACATACACAGAAGGCCAACAGACACACAAAATATGCTCAACATTACTGATCATTTAAGAAATACAAATGAAAACTACAATGAGATATCATCTCACGCCTGTCAGAGGGCTAAAATCAAGAACACAAGAAACAACAGGTGTTGGTGAGGATGTTGAGAAAGGGTAACCTTCCTGCACTGTTGGTGGGAATGCAAACTGGTGCAGCCACTCTGGAAAACAGTATGGAGTTTCCTCAAAAGTTAAAAATAGAACTACTCCATGATCCAGCAGTTGCACTACTAGGTATTTACCCAAAGGATATAAAAATACTAATTCAAAAGAATACATGCACCCATATGTTTATAGCAGCTTATCTACAAGAGCCAAATTATGGAGGCAGCCCAGATGTCCATCGACTGATGAATGGATAAAGAAAAGGTGGTATATGTATACAATGGAATATTACTCAGCCATAAAAAGAATTGAATCTTGCCATTTGCAACAAAGTGGATGGAGCTAGAGAGTATTATGATAAGTGAAATAAGTCAGAGAAAGACAAACACCATATGATTTCACTTACATGTAGAATTTGAGAAGCAAAACAAATGAGCATAGGGGGAAAAAAAGAGAGAGAAGCAAACCAAGAAACAGACTCCTAACTATAGAGAACAAATTGAGGGCTCGCAGAGCTGGGGGCAGGAAATGATGGTTGAAATAGGTGATGGGGATTAAGGAGTACACTTGTGATGAGCACCAGGTGTTTTGTCGAAGTGCTGAATCCCTATATTATAAACCTGAAACTAATATGACATTGTATATTAACTGGAATTCAAATAAAAACTTAAAAAAGAATAAATAAATCCAATCAAAAGGAGTTTCAATTTTATGAGCAGAATATGATTATATCTATTAAAGGATTGTACCTAACTGTAACTGAAAAACCCATAAACTTTTACAGTAACAAAAAGGAGATAAGCTAAGAGGCAACAGGTTGGAGATACATTAGAAAAACTGAACTAGATCATAAACACCAGGCACAGAGCAAAGCAGGGATGAAGTGCAAGAATGAAAATAGGGGACTTAAGTGAGGCTTTTTCCATCCCAGGAAGATTAGACATTTCTTACCTGAAGAAACTAAGCAAAGAACATACTGTGAATATCACCAGCCTATTAGTGCTGACCAAGCACTCAGAGTAGCGAGGAAGCATTTCAGTGCTTCCTAAATAAATATGGATAGACAACCACTGAATACCAGAAGTATGACTAAACCTCCAATGTGAAAGACCAAAACAATAAAACAGATATAGCACAGAATGCAAAAGTTATTAGAATGTAACTAGCACTTTTAGAGAAATAAATGTTATAAAAAGCATAAATGTTATAAAAAGTAACATTCAGAAAATAAAAAGTTTAAAAATAAGACAGTCAAAATTCAGTAAAAGAAAAACCCAAAAACCCAAATGCCAAAGTTGAGTAACTGTCCCACAAATGGAACTAAAAGACAAAAAATATACAAACACTAAATAGATGAGATTAGAAATCAATTTCAAAGGTACAGTTCAGGGGCGCCTGGGTGGCTCAGTTGGTTAAGCCTCTGCCTTCGGCTCAGGTCATGATCTCAGGGTCCTGGGATCGAGCCCCGAGTCAGGCTCTCTGCTTAGCAGGGAGCCTGTTTCCCTTCCCTCTCTCTGACTGCCTCTCTACCTACTTGTGATCTCTGTCTGTCAAATAAATAAATAAAATCTTAAAAAAAAAAGGTACAGGGACGTATGGGTGGCTCAGTTCGTTAAGCGGCTGCCTTCGGCTCAGGTCATAATCCCAGAGTCCTGGGATGGAGTCCCACATCTGGCTCCTGACTCAGCAGTGAGCCTGCTTCTCCCTCTCACTCTACCTGCTGCTCTCCCTGCTTGTACTCTCCCTCTCTGTTAAATGAATAAATAAAATCTTTTTTAAAAAAAGGTACAATACATGGGGCACCTGGGTGTCTCAGTGGGTTAAAGCCTCTGCCTTCAGCTCAGGTCATGGTCCCAGGGTCCTGGGATTGAGCCCCGCATCGGGCTCTCTGCTCAGCGGGGAGCCTGCTTCCTCCCTTCTCTCTCTCTGCCTGCCTCTCTGCCTACTTGTGATCTGTCTGTTAAATAAATAAAATCTTTAAAAAAAAAAGGTACAATACACCTAATAAAAGCTCCAGAATAATAATAAAGAAAAAGGAAAGGGAATGTAATCAAAGGAAAAATACAAAAGAAATTTCTAGTTCTCAAGGACATAAGTGTCCAGATTGAAAAGTTCTACCAGGACCCAGCACAAAAGTCAAGAAAAAATCTACAGTAGAGGAATATTTCATGAGACTTGAGAACGTTGGAGAGGAAAACTAACCTAAAATCAGCAAGAGAGACAGAGATAGAGAGATAGAGTCAGAATAATGCTTTCAAAAGTATTAGTGAAAATAATTTTCATTTTAGAATTCTTTACCCCCCAGCCAAGGTTTTCTTTTCTTTTTTTTTTTTTAAAGATTTTATTTATTTATTTGACAGAGAGAGAGAGAGATCACAAGTAGGTGGAGAGGTAGGCAGAGAGAGAGAGAGGAGGAAGCAGGCTCCCTGCTGAGCAGAGAGCCTGATGTGGGGCTAGATTGCAGGACCCCGGGATCATGACCTGAGCCGTAGGCAGAGGCTTTAACCCACTGAGCCACCCTGACGCCCCCAGCCAAGGTTTTCATCAAGCATGAAGTACATATTCTTCATCAAAAATAAAGATCACCAACATCATGCAAAATTTACCCCCATTCACTCTTTCTTAGGAAGAATCCACCAAAATATGGGACTTAAGAAGGAGGAAGATAAGGGCGCCTGGGTGGCTCAGTGGATTAAAGCCTCTGCCTTCAGCTCAGGTCATGATCCCAGCGTCCTGGGATCAAGCCCCACATCGGGCTCTCTGCTCAGCAGTGATCCTGCTCCCCCACCTCACTCTGCCTGCCTCTCTGCCTACTTGTGATCTCTCTCTAATAAATAAAAATAAAATCTTAAAAAAAAAGGAGGAAGATACAGAATGCAGAAAACATGACATTCAATACAATAAAAAGACAAAGGAAGGTCCCAGGATAATAGCTGTTCAATAGGTCTAGATAACCAGCCAGAGCAGAGCAAGAGAATATTACTCCCAGGAGAAATGTCTCCAGGAGACCACAGACAGACAGACACACATACACAAACACACACACAGATTCAAAAATTAAAATGTTAGATTACTTGACAAGTTTTACCATGTAGAAAAATTGAGTTAAGAGGCTACAGAAGGGTGTAAGAAGACTTGGCTATAGGCTTTAATAAAATTTAGCAAATTTAGTCAACATAAAATAAAATAAAATTTTTTAGTCAATAAAAAATAAAACAAAATTTAGTGAAGTTTAAAAAAAATTAAATGTCTAAATATCTGGGTATACACAAAAAAGAGAAAAAGGGAATGTATTCATATTAATACCATAGTACTATACTCATCAGTGAACAATATTTATTATGGTCATTATAATAAAAACATTTAATATGATTTAAAACTGAGAAATAAATGCAGTGGGAGATGCGTGGAGGGAGGCGTAAGTGTAAGAAAACTAAAATCATCATTTTCTGTTGATAGAAAAATTATTAGATAATGGCAAAAAATGATGACTTATAGCAGTATGTGTATATGTTTAAAAAAAAAAGAAGATATATGGAGGGGTACCTGGGCGGCTCAATTGGTTGAGCATCTGCCTCCGGCAGGTCGTGATCCCAGGGTGCTGGGATTGAGCCCCCCATCAGGCCTCCCGGTTCAGTGAGTAGTCTGCTTCTCCCTCTGCCTCTCCCCCTCTCCCCACTTGTGCTCACTCTCGCTCTCTCAAATAAATAAAATCTTTTTTAAAAAGATTTTATTTATTTATTTGACAGAGATCACAAGTAGGCAGAGAGGCAGGCAGAGACAGAGAGAGGGAAGCAGGCTCCCTGCTGAGCAGAGAGCCTGATGCGGGGCTTGATTCCAGGACCCTGAGATCATGACCTGAATCAAAGGCAGAGGCTCAACCCACTGAGCCACCCAGGTGCCCTCAAATAAATAAAATCTTTAAAAAAATGTTAAAATGTTTAGAAATATGAAAATAATTATTAGAAAAGAAAACTAAACTATCGAAAGTGAATTCCTTGCAAAAATAGGGAGTAACAGGCCCAGAACACATGCATACCACTCTCTCTCACTCTTATCCTTCAAATAACTGTGGCTATGCAACTTTATAACTTTCAGATTATTTTTTTAAACTATGCATGTATTGTTCTGCTTTTAAAAAAGCATTGCGAGGTGGGGTGTGCCTGAGTGGCTCAGTTGGTTAGGCACCTGCCTTCAGCTCAGGTCATGATCCCAGGGTCCTGGGATTGAACCCCAGGTCAGGCTCCCTGCTCACTGGGGAGTCTACTTCTCCCTCTCCCTTTGCCCCTTTCCCACTTGTGCTCACACATTCTCTCTCTCTCCAATAAATAGAATCTTAAAAAAAGTATTAAGGTAGCCCCTAAATTAATACAGTAGCAATGGGAATGGATGCAAGTGGTACTAGATACGTGGAGTGAGACATGGATGGAGGAACAACTAAAAACAAAACAAAACAAAACAAAATAATAATTCCAGGATTCTGGCTTAGACAATAATCATCTGTTTTTTTAGACAACAGCATCTTTATTTTTTAAATGTAATCATTTCTAAAGGTAATTTTACTAGATTAAATGTCAATTCTAATTTTGGCTCAAAATTAGTGTGTTAAAACAATGATTTGGGGATGGCTTACAAAAGAAACACCATAACAAATAGGCAACTATTCTTTAAAATTATTTAAATTTAATTTCGTCTATATAGGGATGCCAAAATAATTCCTTGCCATAATGCTGTTTAGTGTTTAGTGGTCTACTGATAAGTAGACATAAAACAAAACATAAAACAAAACAGAACAAAAACTTTTCACCTTCCAAATGTAACCAGTTTATGAACTTTCTTTTCTAACTTTGCTTCAAAAACACATATACAGAATGGTCTAAGTCAAATAATTAAGAGAGTAACTCACAGTTTAACATTTGCATATTCTGAATACCTGAATACACCATCCTCATTGTGTCCCCTGGAGACCTGCTTTGTAGTGTTTATTCTAACTAAAATATTCTTCCCCCTTACCGTATACTGTCCACGTTATTCAAGTATGGTAGGAGCACGGACTTGGCATCAAATTGAATAGTTCAAATCTTTATTGCACCGTTTCTAATCACGTGACTCTAGAGAAATTACTTGGATCTTGTTTTCTCACCTCTAATCTAGGTACAATATTTACCTAATAGAAGTGGCAACGTAGACTGAGAAAAATATCATATAAGGTACCTAACCTAACCTCCAGCAAATACTCAACAAAATCTTAATTCCCAACTTGGTTCAGTTACAACTTCCTCAATAAACCAGTAGACCATATTTTTCTTCCACCTTTTACTACTTTGGTATTCTATGCAACTCAGTTCAAGATTTACTATATATGATTTCAAACTGCTATTTCTTAATGTGTATTTTTTTAAGTCAGCTCCACACCTAATGTGGAGTTTGAGCTCATGACCCTGAGACTGAGTCAGGTGTTCTACCCACTGAGCTACCCAGGCACCCCTCTTAATGTTTATGTTTTTACTGTACATGTCTAACTCCAAAGTAAGATCCAAAGTCAGAGTGAAGAACTTATTTTCTTCTTCTTTTGTATCTCCTCCTATACAGAGTAGTCTACTGGATAAGCATCAGCACTTAACATGATAAACAGTGCATTAAGGAACAAGGCAGTCAGGCAATGCCAAATTTTATAAAAAATGAGGGACACTCATGTATACAGATAATAAAAAAAATAATTTTTATCCCTGTTGATACCATATCTGACCCACAGGTCTTCCTCATTCTTTTTAACAAGGTACTATCACTGTCAATATATTCAAGAAAGATTGAGTAAAAAATTCTTTAAAGGCACATAATAGCATATATAGTATGGTCTTATTTAGAAATTTTTTGACTATGCATAGAAAAAAGTTTGTTGGTGGGGGTATAGATAACTGGGTGATGGGCATTAAGGATCACATGATGTGATGAGCACTGGGTGTTACACTGAACCGATGAATCATTGAACACTATATCAAAAACCAATGATGTACTCTACCTTGCCTAATTGAATTTAAATTTAAAAAAAAGAAAAAAAAGAAAAAAATTTTTGATTACATATACCAAACCAGTAACAGCAGTTATCTCTGGAGATCAGGAAGAAAAACTTCATTCTACATTACTGAGATTTTTATTGTATATTCTTTTTTACTACAAGCAAGTATTACCTTAATTTAAGTGTTTTTTTATTAAGTGTTATTTTTAAATGTACATAATTCTGTTTCTTTTACCTTTTCTCATGAGGCAAGGTCATCAGTACAAAAGTCATGCATACTAGTACCATTTGCAGCAGCAATACTTACTTTTTGATTGAAAAGGGCTGTCGTCGTCCATCAAGTTGCAGAGTCACCTAGGCACCAACAAATGACATCAATCAATTTTATGAGTTACTTTAACACCAAATATTGAAACGTGAAACCTGAGATTCAGAAATCTTGAGGTTCTAATTTTGATCTCCAGCAAACTCACCATATGACTCCAGAGAAGAGCAAATTAAGTCTTAGTTTTCTGCCCTATAAAATAAAGATACTACTATTAGGGTGGATTTGTTAAAAGTATTCATATTTAATCATTTTTTCCTACAAAAAGCTTACCTTTTGAGTTTGATATGTTTGATATACATATGCTAATAACTTTACCTAATTGTAAATGAAAATCTAGTAAATAAAATGCTGAATGTATTAAGCATTTATTATTTGAAGAAATATGATGGATTATTAAATTACAAATAAGTTTTGAAAAGCACCTCTGTGTAAATATGAATAATCACCCTGTGCTACATGTTTTAGTCAATCTCAATTTTGACATGCTAAATGACATTACTCTTTAACCATGACTTATTATCCATATTTCAGAAATAAATGTAATTATTACAAGAAAAACACATACAAAAAACTTCTGGTTTATATATTTTTATTTCTTGTTAACACTAACTGTAAGGAATAGAAAATTAATTGGATAAACTTCATCATAGATTAATTCATTAAAAAATAATTACTCATTGCCTTCTGTGCTCAAAGTGATGTGCTCAGTTCTAGAGGGAAAAATTAAGATGAATAAATCACATCCTTGCCTTCAGAAGGTTACAGTCTAATATATCTACAGTTCTTTGGGCTTTTAAAAAAAGCTGTTGTATTAAACATTATCAAAAATTGTTTTCTGAATTGCTTTCTTTAGAGCAGGAATTTGTGTTCTGAATTCTCATACATGCATATTCCTTACGTACAAAATAAATGTGTTTAAAAAAACTATTTCAGTTATAAAACAAAAATGTAAAAAATTAGTCATCAGAAATCTAAAGTATTAGGATGAACAGAGCTGAGTCTTCACGTTTGTCTTTATTTTCAGACTGATAAAAGCAAGCTTTCTTGCTTTTTTCAATTCATAATTATTTGGGCTGAATTAGACCAAAGGAAAAAACCTATTTTAACTCCAGAAGATGTTATTGGTATGAATGTTTGAATTACTATCATAAGGATCTCAAGTGAATTCTGTACTTCAGTAAATTTCCCTAGTTCTGTCTGAGGTTTGACTATTCAAATCTCTTTTTACTCAATTATTTGAATAGAAATCTAAACCGAATTAAGGTAATGCATATGTCAAGTAGATAAATACATGTCAATTCCTGCTTAGCATTAAAGACCTACTGCTACCAGGAACACAATTTTTTTAAGAGTCACAACTACATAGCCTATGGAGACTCAGGTATAACACTTTTATTAAATGCTCATAAAAATATCTACTAGCACAAATAGCCTAAAATCAGTATGAAACATACAAGCAGTTTACATAAACAACTCATATCCACTGTCTATGACTGCAGAGATGGATTTTGAGGCCTGTAACAGCCACCAAGGAGCTGCAATTGGTACATTTACAAACGCTCCAAGAAGTGAGAAATCCCCAGATGCCATTAGAACCATAACTTCATCTAAAGCTGCACTATCCAATAAAGTATTCAAGCCCTCCAAAACTATCACCACACACACACAAAAATCTCTCAAGTCATAATTTCAGAGTTTTGGTGACAGTGCAAGGAATTATATGGGAGATTTAAGTCATCTCTCAAAGAAATGGAATACACAGCAAAAGGTGCAGTGAAGATCTTAGAGCTTCCGTAATAGCAGCTTCAGAGGGTCTCTAGGTTCTGCAACTCAGAGCTGGCACCAAGATAGGCATATTTGCAAAATAGGCAAAGAACTCTCCACTTCAGCTGTTGACTCAGGTAGGAATACTATGTCCATATTTAATACACTGTTCCTATGGGGGGGAAATGAATTCTAAGTAACGAAAGATCTCTTGGAATACAATCCAGTTTTTTGAGGCTGCCTGTATAAATGGTTATAATTACTATTTAGATATTTTTGGCTTCAGTTTCTATATACTTAAAATTCACCTACCTTTTAAGAGTTCAAATCTACAAAATTTTCAAAAAACGTTAATAAATTAAAATAGTTAAGCGGTAAATTGTATGTTATGTGCATTTCATGCCTACTAGGATGGCTGTAATCAAAAAGGCAGATAATAACAAGTGTTGGCAAGGATATGGAGAAATTGGAACCCTCATACACTGCTGGTGGGAATATGAAATGGTGCAGACACTGTGGAAAATACTTTGGCAGTCACTCACAAAGTTAAACATAGTTACCATATGACACAGCAATTCCACTCCAAGTGAGAGAGAATTGAAAACATATGCCCATACAAAAACTTGTAAACCGGAATGTGCATAGCAGCATTATTTATAATGGCCAAAAAGTGGAAACAACCCACACACTCAACTGATGAATGGATAAACAAAATATGATATACTTATATAATGGAATAATATTCAGTCATAAAAGGAATAAAATACTCATATAGAACATAGATGAACCTTGAAACATACTAAGTGAAAGAAGCCAGTCAAAAAGACCATGTATTACATGACTTCATTTACATGAAATGTCAAGAAATGGCAAATTCATAAAGACAGAAAGTACAGTAGTGGTTGCTTAGGGCTGGGACTGTTGGGGGGGGAAGTGGGGAGTGACTCCTAGTGGATATGGGGTTTCTTCTGGGAATTGACCATAGTGATGGTTACATGCCACTGTGAATATACTAAAATCATTAAACTGTATACTTCATATGGCTGAATTAGAGGTTATGTGAATTTTTAAAGATGTATTTATTTATTTTAGAGAGGGAATGTGGGAGTGGCGGGGAGAGGGGCAGAGAGAGGGAGAGAGAGATAATCTCAATCAGACTCCCCACTGAGCATGGAGCCCAATGCTGGGCTTGATCCCAGGACCCTGAGATCATAACCTGAGCTGAAATCAAGTCAGAAGCCTAACCAACTGAGCCACCCAGGGGCCCCTATTACGTGAATTTTATCTTAATAAAGTTAATAAACTTAATAAAGTTAAGAAAATAATATGCTGGTAGGATATAAGCCTGGGAGTGATGGAGTCACTATGTGGAGAAAGAATGTCCAAGAGAAAAACCAACAAAGAAAACAGAAAAGCCGTAAGATTCTGGGGTAGAGAAAGAGAGGGCAAGGTAGGGAGACATTAAAATTCTGATAATACCATTTAAATACCTGAAGCTAGTCATTCTTGAAGTAAATTAACTATTAGACTTTTCAGTTAACAGAAGAAATAACTGGGTGCGTGGGTGGCTCAGTACGTTAAGCGTCTGCCTTTGGCTCAGGTCATGATCCCAGGGTCCTGGGATGGAGCCTCACATTGGGCTCCCTGGTCAGCGGGAAGCCTGCTTCTCCCTCTCCCACTCCCCCTGCTTGTGTTCCTTCTCTCTCTGTGTCTCTCTCTGTCAAATCAATAAATAAACATCTTTTAAAAATTTTTTAAAAAAGAGAAGGAATAATTGTTCATTTTTTGGTTTTATCTACCTTGAGTGAGGTTTCTAGTACTTGCATTCAAGAGTAATAACACACTTACCAGTGGCTTATTACCCCCATATTTTTCAAACTAATAGACCTCTGGGGAAAAGATATATTGTAGATGGTGCAAGAGAGCTCTATCTAAAGCAATATATTGTTTTGCTATCTAAAAACTTTCAAATATACAATACAATCTTATTAACTGTAATCAGCAAGATATACATTACATCTCCAGGGCTTATATTGCTGGAAGTTTGTAACTTTTGGCCATCTTCACCAAATTCACCCATCCCTAATCCCCAGCTCTGGCAACCACCAATGTGTTCTCTGTATCTATAAGTTCCTTTTTTTTTTTTTAAGATTCCACATATAAGTGAGATCATACAGTATTTGTCTTTGTATGATTTATTTCACTTAGCATAAAGCCCTCAAGGTCCATGGATGTCATGAATGACAGGATTTCCTTCCTCTTTATGGCTGAATAAGAGTCCCTTTTATATTGATACACCAAATTTTCTTTATTCATTCATCCAATGATGGACACTGATTGTTTCCATATCTTGGCTATTGTAAAAAAAAATGCTGCAATGAACATGAGGATGCAAACATAATTTTGAGTTAGTGTTTTCATTTCCTTCAGATAAATAGGCAGAAGAGAAAACTGTTGGATCATATCAGTACTGCTGTTTTTGTCTGTCTTTACTACTGCATTTTCATCAAGTACTATCACTTTTACTGCTGCTGATTAATAACAAACTAAAGAACATAGGAAGACAATATCTAAACGATGCATCTTCACTAAATTGACAAATGACAGTATGGCTAGCTATAAAAATGATGGTATTTAAAAGATTCAAATAGAAAAATCTTGCCATTGTTTAGATAGGTATGAAAATGCAATAAAAGTAGGCAGTGATTTTGTTTCATCAAAAGGTATTATTCACTCAATGTATTAAAGTTGATTCAAACAGCATCGATTTGATTATAATTTTATGATTGTGTAAGAGCTCTAGAAATACTTTAAACATTTTAAGTAGGAAGATGTTTATGAAAATGTTTTCTTATAACAGAAATTAATTGCTACAGTACTCAAATGCAAGAAACATTGCATTATACCTTGATTCCTTAGACAATTACATTGACATCTAAATAATTCAAACTCTCAAACCAGGTTTTAGGAACAAATCACATATAATTTAGAAGGAAAACCTAGGCTCACCATTTTGTTTCTTTGTTTAAGAAAATTTTATATTGTGGGAATTATTTTTTTGAAAGTCTGAACACATGAAGTCCTGGCATATTTTGAGAAGATATTTCTTTAATAACTCTATTTTCCCCTTATTTTATTTAGGTTTTCAATTGTTTTCTCTGTCAACGTTCAGATTTCATCTATTTGTGGAAAGTAGCTAGTTGGCACTATGACTAAAGTTCATTAGAATAATACTTTGCAAAGATTGCTTATATTTTAAAACATTTTCTTTTATGCTAGTTTTTTGGGTGGGGTGCTATAAAATTTACTTTCTGCAAAGTAATTTTTATATCATAGTCAAGGTAAAGAATTTACCTACAAGAATTTGTTTTTATTGCACATCATATATAAAAGGCATAATCTGCAGAAAAGACAAATAATTGGCTTTTCAAAGCCAAATTAATTAATAAATATTTTATATAAGCTTCATAAGATATTTGTAAACACTAATAACTAAAGTAACCTCAGGAAGTATTTATTAATTACTTCGCATTTTATAGGAATAAAACTTATCCAATACGGAAAATGTCAAGTAAGAGTAGAGTACGACAATGAAAACACATGACATAGCGGCTGAATAACTGGGAATTTTGAATCTACCATTATCTAATTGCCAAACCTATAGGATGTTTAATCAACCTTTCTGAGCTTAGTTTTACTACCTATAAAGTAAAAACAGTAGTATCTTCCTTGCAGCACTATTAGGAAGATTAAATAAAGCACAAGAAAAATTATTTACATTATTTTATTCAACTTTTCCTTCTTTACTGGAACTCATATTACAAGTTGATGAATATAAACATTAAAAGAAAATGAAATTCTAGTTCATATAAAAAACCGTTTAAGGGTCCCTGGTGGCTCAGTTGATTGAGCGACTGCCTTCAGCTCAGATCATGATCCCTGGGAGTCCTGGGATCAAGCCCCACATCAGGCTTCCAGCTCCATGGGAAGTCTGCTTCTCCTTCTAACCTCCCCTCTCATGCGCTCTTTGTCTCTCTCTCTCTCTCTCTCAAATAAATAAATAAAGTCTTTAAAAAAAAACAACGAACTGTTAAGATACTGTCACCAATAACGTACACTAGATCAGTAGTTCTCGTTTTTTGGTCTCAGGATGTCTCAGGACCTCTTTGCATTCTTAAAACTTGAAGACCCAGGGGCGCCTGGGTGGCTCAGTGGGTTAAGCCGCTGCCTTCGGCTCGGGTCATGATCTCAGGGTCCTGGGATCGAGCCCCGCATCGGGCTCTCTGCTCAGCGGGGAGCCTGCTTCCTCCTCTCTCTCTGCCTGCCTTTCTGCCTGTGATCTCTCTCTGTCAAATAAATAAATAAAATCTTTAAAAAAAAAAAAAAACTTGAAGACCCAAATGAGCTTGCTTATATGGATTATATCTATTGATACTTACCATATTAGAAATTGAAAATGAGAAAAAATTAAATATGTATTAATTTATCTAAAGTAATAATAAGCCCATTATATGTTCATATAAATATTTTTAATGAAAATAACTATTCTAAAACAAAAAATTTAATGAGAAAAGTGGCACTGATATACATTTTGTAAATGTCTTTAATATCTGTTTAATAAAAGATAGCCGAATTCTTTTATCAGCTTCCAAAATGTATTTTTTCCAAATATACACAAAGACGTACACCATGTTTCAATCCTTATTAAATTTTTAATAAAGTTGATTTCACTTTGTTTTTATGTAAATTATTTGTAAAAGGACTTAAAATATAAAAAATAAAACAAAAAGTGGTCCACTTTATCCAGATGATAGTGATCACTATTTTCCTTGACATATTGTGGATTAATAAAACCACTCCTTAAAAGAAAACTGCTTTGCAGAGAATGAATCAAAAACACATTTTTGATACAAATTACGGAGTAAACCACGTCTTCCTGAGTCATTATTTAAAACCTTATGAAAACCAAACATTTTCAAGTCCCTCTCTGAAGCGGGAGGACAGAAAAAAATATTCAGGGTTATATATTTAATTAGTGAATATATCATAAGTATCTCTGTTCTTTGAAAAGTTACTTTTGAAATAACAAACTGTGTTTTCAATGTTTCCTATATCCAGTCGCTAAAACTATGGATTACTTTCTATTCACAAAACACACTTTTCATCTAAATATTTTTCCTGTGCAATCAGTATAACAACAGCAACAACAATTTTTTTTTTTGGTATGGTTCTAAATGTCCTCTTGAATAAAGAAAACAAATGGGAGAGAAGCAAGAATACTTAATTATATACTCTTTCCACTTAACTCTTCTTTTTTACTAAGAAAGCTGGTGCTGGGTAGTAAAACATTGGGCTGAAGGAATCAGACTGGAGTAGAAAACTTAAGTGAGGAAAGTGGGTTAACAGGGAAGCTGAAATTTGGAGCCCTTCAACATCACAACTTTTTCTGATGGAAAACTGGGCTACTGGAAGAATGGGCTATTCTTCAACATTTCAACCTGGCTGGAAATAATAATGATATCATTTAAATACTAAAAAGTTGAAAAGATATGAAGATCTTAAATGAAAATATAAAGGAAAGGGGAATTGAAAAATATCTTTTTTTTTTTTTAGGTAAAGTGTCCTTGTTTATTCTCTTTGACCACCTCATTCCCATGAGAAGTGAGGCATGATACAGTGAACTGAGCATTGGAGAAGTCAGAAGACCTAGGTTCAAGAACTGGTTCTATCACTTCCTAACCAAGTGGCCTCAGGGGAAGTCTTCTCCTTGAGGCTGTCTTCTCACCTTCTAAACAGTTCTACCAACACTCCACAGCTCACCTCAAAAGGAACGATTATCAATGAATATACAAATGAAAAACGCAATTATAGTGGAATTTGTACCGATGTTAAAGCACCAAGGCACACAGCCCTAACTTAATTTTATATGCAAACCAGTTCCCTCATAAGCCCAGTGAAGTTTCTGCTTAAGTAGACAGCTTGAGTTTTTACAGTAACCCCCAAAACAAGACATCTCACAAATGTTAAGAGGAGACTTTTGTAGTTTGAAACTCTATTTCTTGGTTTCAATTTTATTTTTAACGGCACAAAAACACATTAAAATCCAGTCCACACTTGAAAACGATAAAGGCAAAATTTAAGTTCACAGATAAAAAAAAAAACCTAAAAAATCTTTGCAAACAAAGACAATCCTTTAGATGAAGATCTCCTGTGCTTGCAGAAGCTGCCTCACTTGACATTTTCTTCTATGATTTCTCCTTCAAAAAGCACTTATACTGAGATAACAAGAGGAACTCCCTGTGTCTAGAAAAGGATAAAACCCCCAAATGAAATAATTTTTCCATCTCAGAAAAATGCGCAAAGCTCACTGTTAAAAAATTGTGTATCTAACTCCATGTTTCTCCTTAGAGCTCTTTTCTCCTAAACAATAACTGAATGGAGCACGATTTCTACAACGAGCAGCACAGTCCCTTTGGCAAGAACAAGGGTATCAGCACTGAATGACCAGTAATCTGGATGGGGGAACCAGGACTGAAAGGAGGGGCCCAAGGGGCCCAGAAGCCAGAAAGTTCAGAACCTTCTCTGGTCTCTTAAGACCGAAGAGACTTGAGGGTGGGCGGGTCTCTCCAAACATTGGTATCAAATATACAAAAGACCAAAGGGAGTTGCCTCCAGAAAGAAAAGCCAAAACCAGGCTAAGGACTGACAGACGCGCAGGCCCTGAGTGGTGAGGAGGCGGCGGCGGCCCGCCCGGCCAACGGCCTGAGAGGGCCCCCAAATCCTGAGAGGGCCGCCAAACCCTGCCGCCGAGCAGCTACCCTTCCGAGATCCCCGCCCCCGCCCCCGCCGGGGCTGGCGCAAGATGGTGGCCCACCCGCCACCGCGCCGCCAAGTTCGTCCCCTCCCCCGCTCCCTGGGCGATCCTAGCAACACACGCCGGCATCCGGACCCTCAACCTGCCCCCCTCAGAGCCAAGCCGGCGCCGCCACCCTCAGAGCAATGCCGCCACAGCCTTGTGGCGGAGCCGCTGCCGGCTTCAGCGAGAATCAGGCGGGGGCGGGGGGATCACTTACCGTGAGCAGAGCAGGTCGCCGTGACTGGGACTCGAAGGAGGAGGAGAAAGAGGAGGAGGAAAGGGAGGAGCGCGAAGACGCTAGGCGGCGGCCACAGAAATAGTGGCTGCTGCGGCGACTCCCAGCGCGGAATGAGCGCCTCAGACCAAGGCAAAAGTATATAACTACGCGCACTGCCTCATGGGTAGACGCCAACTCCTCCCCGCCCCTGCACATCCGGGTTTCTTTTCTAACCGACGAGGGAGGGTGGTGCGGACATGTGCATGGTCTTACACTTTCTCGAAGGCAGAGGCACTCTGGCTGTGCGCTCTGGGCCACCAGCAGTAGGTGGAGGGCCAGGGTAAGGGTCCCACGCTGATGCCGATCTCCTTAGTGAATTCATTGTTCAACCTGAGTTGCAATCTTGAAATTTGGGCTGCAGACCATGAAAATGTGAATTCCAGGTCTTCCTTGTGTGTAGGAGATAGGAACACCAATAAAAAGAAGTACTGTACCTGAGAGGCAAAGACATAAACTTGATGAGTAAAAGGGAATAAAAGTCAGATTATTTAAATTATTGGTTAATTTCACCAAATTTGTTTTAAATAATATAGCTTCGCATCTAACTCTTCGTTATTCTTGTCATATAAATGTCTAGAATCGTTATTAAAATGTTAAGAAAATATACATCTACAAGAAAAACATCCGTCAAGATACCACTTGCACAAACATTTTCTAAACATGTATATTCTGAAGAGTAAAAAAGTTTCTTCTCCCAATAGACCTTCAAAAGTTCTATGGCACCAGTGGTCCCTCTCTCAAGTTACCCAGACTTCAAATCTTCCTTCAGTAGTTCCTTAACACACATGTAAGTTCAGTCAATCACTGAATCCTACCAATTCTTCTATTTGGGTTAGTTTCTTCTTCCTCATCTATACTGCCCTTTGCTACCGGTCCTGAAAATAATCTTTACAGGAAAAGACAGAATAATCAAAATAACAAGTATGGAAAGTTAAAAATTCTTGTCAAAAATCAGTTGACTATAAATGCAAAGATTTATTTCTGGGATCCCAATTCTATTCCAATGACATTTATGTTTATCTTTATACCAGTACTGTACTGTCTTGATTACTGTAGCTTTTAAAAAAAAAATATTTATTTATTTATTTACATTAGAGAGTGAGAGCACGTGCAAGTGGGGCAAGGGGCAGAGAGAGGGAGAGAGAGAATTTTAAGCAGACTCCATGCTGCTGAGTGCAGAGCCCAACTCAAAGCTTGATCCCTCAATCCTGAGATCATGACCTGAGCCAAAATCAAGCATTGGATGCTCAACCGACTGAGCCATCCACACACCCTGATTACTGCAGCATTGTGCTACGTTTTGAAATTAGGAAGTGTGAATCCTTCAACTGTTTTTTTTTTTAAGATTTTTATTTATTTATTTGACAGAGAGATCACAAGTAGGCAGAGAGACAGGCAGAGAGGGAGGGGAAGCAGGCTCCCAGCCGAGCAGAGAGTCCGATGTGGGACTCGAAACCAGGACCCTGAGATCATGACCTGAGCCAAAGGCAGAGGCTTAACCCACTGAGCCACCCAGGCGTCCCAACTGTTCTTTTTTTTTTTTTTCAAGATTTTTTTTTTGTCATTTTAAGGTCCCTTGTATTTCTACATGAATTTTAGAGTCAACTTGTCCATTCCTGGGGGTAGAAAAGCCAGTTAGAATTTTGATAAAGTTGTATTTAATCTATAGATCACTTGAATAGCATTGCCATCTTAACAATACTAAGTGTTTTAACCCATGAATCTAGGATGTCTTTCCATTTATTTAAGTTTTATTGAGGATATTTTGAGTCTATATCCATAGGGACTTTGGTCTGAAATTTCCTTTTCTTTTTCTTCTTTTTTATATGATGTCTCTTTCTGGTCTTGGTATTAGGGTAACATTGACCTCATAGAATGAGTTGGGAAGCATCACATCCTCTTCTATTTCTTAGAAGCATTTGTGAAGTACTGGTATTAATTCTTCTTTAAATGTTTGGTAGAATTCTACAGTTAATCCTTTTGGTCTTGGACTTCTTTGTGTGGGAAATTTTGACCTACTAGATAAACTTCTTTCCTTATTATAGACCTATTCAGATTTTCTATTTCTTCTTGCATTCATTTTCATAACTTGTGTCTTTCTAGGAATTTGCCCATTTCATCCAGGTTATCTAACTTGTTCACATAAAATTGTGCATAGGAGCATCTTGGTGGCTCAGTCCATTAAGTGTCTGACTCTTGGGTTTGGCTTAGGTCATGATTTCATGGTCAGGAGATTGAACCCCATGTAGGGCTCCATCCTCAGCATGGAAGCATAGAATCTGCTTCACATTTTCTTTCCCTCTCCTTCCCCTTCCTCCTCTGTCCCTCTCCCTACTTGCACTGCTTTTTCTCTCTTGCACTCAAATAAGTAAGTAAGTAAATAAATAAATAAATAAATAAAATATGCATAGTATTCCCTTCCATATATGGTGATAACTGAAATTTGAACCATGTTGTCTTGGACTGGTGTTTCTTAAGTCAAATTCTGTTAAGTAAAGTGTGTGAGAATTTAAAAAATCATTTATTAATTTGTTTTAACAATAATAAATCTATTACATATTAACATACATGATAAATATATATATATTAATTATTATGATTATGGCTAAGGGTTGTCAGCGCAGATCCTGTAGACACTGAAGAATAAGAAGTAAACACTATGAATAACATTATGTCAAGAATTCGACAACATAGATGGAAAGGACAAATTTCTTGAAAAAATACAAGTTACCAAAATAGACTTAAGGTGCAGGAATTCTGAATATCACTTTATCTGTTTAACAAATTGAATTTGTTAGGGAAAAAAAAGCCAGATGGCTTCGCTACTGAATAACACCAATCTTACAAACATTTTCCAGGAAAACAGAAAAAGAGGGAACACAGTCCAGATCATTTTATGAGGTTGTCATAGCCTTCATATCAAAACATAAGAAAAATATTTTAAGGGGTGTCTGGGTGGCTCAGTCGGTTAAGTATCTGCCTTTGGCTCAGGTCATGATCCCAGGGTCCTGGGATCAAGCCCTGCATTGGACTCCCTGCTCAGTGGGGAGTCCGTTTCTCCCTCCACCCCTCCCCTTTGCTTGTACTTGCTTTCTCTCTCAAATAAATAAATAAAATCTTTTAAAAAAGAAAAACATTTTTAAAAAATTGCAGATCAATATCCTTCATGAATGTAGAGGCAAATTTTCTTAGCAAAACATTAACAAATAAAACAGACAGCATATAAAAACTATACTTCAAGACTCAGCAGGGCTTATCCCAGAATGTAATGTTAATTTAACATCTAAAAATCAATCAGTGTAATTCACCATATTAACAGGATGGAGAAAACCCATATGATGATTCCAATAGATGCAGAGAGTACACGACAGAATCCAGTAGCTATCCCTGACAAACATTTTTAGAAAATTAGAAATGGTAAGGAACTTCCTCAAATGAATGAAGGGCATCTATGAAACACCAACACATAGCATCATAATTAATGGTGGAAGACTGAATTACTATTTTTTAAGATAGGAACAAGGATGCCATTATCACCACTTCTATTCAACATGGTACTTAAAACAAAAATGTGATATTGCCTTATACTTGTCAGAATGGTTAAAATCAAAAAGACCAAAAGTAACAAGTGTTGGCAAAAATGCGGAGGGAGAGGAACCCTTGTACACTGTTGGAGAAAATGTCAATTGGCATAGTCACTGTAGAAGACAGTATGGAGTTTCCTCAAAAAAATTAAAAGTGGAGGGGCGCCTGGGTGGCTCAGTGGGTTAAGTCTCTGCCTTCCGCTCAGGTCATGATCTCAGGGTCCTGGGATCGAGCCTCGCATTGGGCTCTCTGCTCAGCGGGGAGCCTGCTTCCTCTTCTCTCTCTGTCTGCCTCTCTGCCTACTTGCGATCTGTCTGTCAAATAAATAAATAAAATCTTTTTAAAAAATTAAAAGTGGAAATACCATATGATCCAACAATTACACAACTGGGTATTTGCCCCCCAGAAATGAAAACATTAATTCAAAAAGATATATGCATCCCTATGTTTATTGTGATAGCCAAGATATGAAGTATTCAATGATAAACAAATGGATAAGGAAGATGTGGTATATATAAATATATACATATATGCTATATATGTACTATGTGCTATTTATATATGTGGTGCACACACACACACACATACACAACACTAAAATATAATGCAGCCACAAAAAGGGATGAGATAATGCCATTCATTGCAACATGGATGGACCTAGAGGGTATTAATGCTAAGTGAAATAAGTCGTACTGAGAAAAACGAATACCACATGATGTTACTCATCTGTGGAATCAAAAAAACAAATGAATAAACAAAAAGCGGAATCAGAACTATAAATTCAGAGAACAAATGGATGGTTGAGGGGAGGGAGGTGGAAGATGGGCAAAATGGGTGAAAGGGAGTAGAAAACACAAGCTTCCAGTTAAAGAATGAATAAGTCAGGGGCCTAAAAGGCACAGCAAAAGGAATACAGTCACTGATATTGTAATGGCATTGTGCGGTAACAGATGGTAGCTACACCTGTGGTGAGCATAGCATAATGTATAAATATGTCAAATCACTATGTTGTACACCTGAAAGTAATGTAATGTTGTGTGCAAACTATACTCAAATAAAAAAATTTAAAATAAACCTACCATAAGTTAAAAAAAAAAAACCATATACCTACCATATGACCCAGGCATTCCACTTCTAGGTATTCACGATGAGAAATGAAAACGTATGTCTCTATTAAGATTTGTACACAAATGTTCATGGAAGTTTTATTCATAATAGCCCAAGCTAGGAACAACCCAAATGTTTATAAACAAATGAATGGATAAACAAATTGCGGTATACAATGGAACTTGGGTCATATCCATACAATGGACTACATCAATAAAAAGGAATAAGTAATAAATACATGGAAAAATATAGATGCATCTTAAAATCACCACTCTGAGTTAAAGAAGCCAGAAAAGAGAGTACATAGTGTGTGATAACATTTTTTTAAAATCCTAGAAATGCAAATTAACCTACAGTGACCATGTGCAAAATCGGTGGTTGCTTGGAGTTGGGA